CTATTGTTAATAATCTTTCTTTTTTGTAGCAAAATAATTCTTATATTATAATTATTTGTGATTTTTTAAAGTCAATCCAATTTGTTTAGAAATAATAATTAAGAGATCGATTTAGAAGACTTAAATTCCTTAAATATTTAAGGCTACTTATTAGGGATTGAAAATTACGAAAAAATCATAGAATAACAATTAAAAAAAGAGCTTTTATAAAAAAATAAATTATAATTGGTAATCAAATTAAAATTTATCCAAGTTATAATAGCAATTATAATAAATTTTTTTATTTAATAATAATAGAGAAGATGAAAATATTTCATTCTTTTATCCTTATCTAATAAAAAGTATATCTATAAATAAATTTCCAAATTTAAGCAATCACTTTGATATTGAACTTTAATTAATTAATTTAAAATGATTTAAAAAGCTTACTAATAGAAACTTTATTAAAAGAAGGAGGTGATTGAGGATGATTAAATTAAATTTAAATTAATAAATGATTCCAATGAACAGATTGGTTTTTCAGATGCGCTAGAATTTGATAAAAATGGATAAACAATGATTTCAGGGAATATTGATTAGGTAAGGATTTGGAATTTTGAGTAAGGAAGATTAGAATTATCTTGTACATATTAAGTACATGAACTAAGTATTACATCTTTGGTGTATAGCAAATAAAGCAATAATTTTATTTCTGGTTCAGACGATTACACAATTATATGTTGGTAATAAATTAATCCATAAGAGTGGAAACATTCTTAGCCATATAAGTAACACAATGGCACTATTAATTGTTTAATGTTGAATAAAAATGAGGATTAACTTATTTCAGGGAGTTGTGATTATACATTAAGAGTTTGGAATGTTGATTTTTAAAGTAATGAACTTACGTATTTGTATTCTTTAAATAATCATGACAACACTGTTAGATCGTTTAGTTTTAATCAACAGCAAACAATTATGGCATCTTGTGGGTTTGATAAATTTATTATATGGGAGAAAGGATTATAAGGAAAATGGGAATTTAAATATAAATAATAGGTTGCATATGGAAGTAAGATAATTCTTATTAATGATCAGTAATTACTTTGGGTAACACTTGAAAGAAAGATAGATGATATTTTGGTGTTTGAATAATAGAATGGAGTCTTTCAATAGAATAATAACAAAACCATAAAATTGCTTAAGAATAATAAGTGTGAGGACTACTTTTATTTCCCAATTATACATAATAGAGATAGAAATATAATATTAGTCAGGCACAAGCATCATATCTATCTGATAAGAGAATTAAATGATGGCACATTTATTATTATTGCATCATTAGATTGTTAAATTTAATAGACTTTTGGAACAATGACAATGAATGGTTAATATCTAGTGGTTTGGGATTTTAAATACAAAAAATATTCATCATATGAAATTTAAAATATATGAATTAATCTAATTTATAATATTTTAATTCTTCTAAGGAGATAAAGTTATCATTTTTTCTGAGTTCATTAAAATAAATAAGAAATGAATTCTTCTTGTTTAAATCTAAAACTCATATTACTGATAATAATTAATATGAGTATTAGATTTGTTAGCCATTCTAAATATTTTATTATTATAAACATTTTATGGAATCTATAATTTATCAGATTTTAATAAAATTTAGAAAAAGGATAATATAAATCCAGATTGTTAATCAATTCTTAATAAAGATCTTGAATCCTCAATATATATTGTGAAGTTAGAAGATTTAGAGTAATTTATATGATTTATAAGCTAATGATTATAATATCCAAACTCATTCAAAGCTTATTCAGCTAGTATCGTTTGTAAATTATTTAGAGTTAAAACAGTAAATAAATTATTTTTAATTAGTAAAATTTATGTTGCTTGCTAAATTTATAAAACAAGAGTTAATTTAATTTGATTTTTTCTGTTTAATTAGAGATGATAGAGAGATAGAAAAAATTACTGTAATTAAAATAAATTTAAGTGTTCTTTTAAAAAAAGATTTGTAACTTTTGAAGATACCTCAAATTATTGTAATTTATGATTTTCTAATTATATTCTTTATATTATAAAATTAAGATAATAATTATAAAAGAAATTTCATTAGACATATTATTATAAATTACCCTAAATTAACAATCATATTAATTTAAATTGAATAATAAAATCTTAATTTTTCGAATGCACAATTAAATTAAGATCTGATATTCATATTATTTAGATGCTCTATTATTTTACCATGCTTCTTCCTATAAATTTATGTTTTCTAGCTTCTTTTTGGTCTCATCTACTCTTTCCTTTGTGTACGAAATCCCTAATCTTGACACCAGGATTGACATTTCATAAATTTTAATTTAAGTCTTTCTATAATTAGAAATATCTTTTTCTTCTTTCTCTCTATCTAGATTTCTCATTTCAAACTCCTTGTATGTCTTAGCTGATCCAATTTTATTCAATTGGTATATATAGGTTTTAATTATAATTCTGTGTCATTCTAGTTTAGAACAAGATATAAATTCTTTGACTTATTTCAGTGCTTTCTCAATACAATTCTATTCCTTGAATCCTTCAATCATTTTTGTTCAATTTAACTTTCCCTTTTTCAATGTTTATATGAATAAACACATGAGCCCATCCTAGAAAAAAGTTGTGCTTGGTTGGCAAGTGAATAAATTATCTTCAATAAAGCATAATCTAATACCCAAATGATATAATATTTACAAGCTAAACTCTTAGTACTTACTTTTTCCTAACCAATATCAATCATTTAAAAAATTTTTTATGTTATTGTTCTTCCTCCATATTTTAGATCACTTTTATTCACAAGTTCTAAATTTTCTCTATCCACTAGATGTAGAAATCTTTTAATTTTTTAATATTTTCAAACAAGCATTTTAAAGATTGAATGTAATAAAATTGTTAACACTTTTTTATCTTGAAAAAGGTTGACTTTAGTTTCCTCGATATTTGTCTAAAATCTATATCGATATAGAAAATTCTTAAAAACTTACCTAAATTTTAATTATTAGATTAATTTATAGTTTGACTTTGCAATACTGCGATATGCTTATTAAATTTATTGTTTCCCATTCTTGAATAATCCTATCGACTTATCTCTGTATTTCTTTGTACTCTACTTCCATTTTAAATTTAGTGACTATGCTTCTCCATTACAAATCATCTAATAAAATGTAAATAGTTTCAGAATTTCATTTTGCTTTATTCATAAAATTTATATTTTTAAATGAATATCCCAATTAGTTTTATCATGTGCATTAACAAATAAATATCAAAATAGTCTTCTACTATTAATAAAAGGATAAACTGAAATTTTTGAAAAAGCCCAAAATAAAAATATGATTGATTCCAAATACATCGTTTAAAACATTAATTTTTTAAAAATATTTTGAGTTTATCTCTTACCTATTGAATTATGGGTGTACTATAGATATTCAAATGTAATTAGACGGCTTTTGATTGATCGAGAATTAAGCATCAAATAATTGGCAATGTAATAATAAGGAAATAAATAATAGAAAAATAAAATATGAAAAATTCATCTTTACTGCTTGTATATTAATTAAATTTACCAGATAACCAGTTGTTAATTATTATTATAACCAAAACTAAAGGAAAAGCATTTATTAGTCTTAAATAACATTTCGCTTTCGCATTTTAGCTTTCTTCTATTTCTATAACATAAACATAGATTATGGAATATCCTTTATACCTTTATAGCCTTACTTAATTATTGAATGTCCATCCATGATCACATAGTCAAACTTGGTTATTTTTTTAAGATAAATTTGAAATAAACAAATTATCTGTTTTTTTAGAAAATACCATCTTAAAGATATAATAATTAGTTAAGAATATGCATTTTTGAATTGGTTAATCATTTCGAAAACTTTTTCAAATAAATTGATATTAATCTATATATATTAAACATTTCTATCATTAAATTATTAATCTAGCCTAACAATAATAAAAAAGTAGAATAAAGAAATAGATAAATAATCATTTAGGCTAATAATCCGACAATTTTTTTGATAAAAAGTAATGTATTCCATCGCAAATATATTCTTTTTTATTGAACAAGCCTCATGTATGTCTAATGAAGGCATGTGTCCTAGCCTATAGATTTCAGATTAGATAAAAAAATATAATAATTATAACCTTATACATCATTTTTCTTGAATAATATGTTGAAGCATAAGGAAATTTTTCTATCTCCTTGATTTTTTCAATTTAATTTAATATTTTATGAATTGATTTAAAACTAACGAATTGTAAATTTAAAAGGATATAAATCTATTTTTAGTAGATACTAATCAACGATAAAATAAATTTGAATATTTTAAAACAAAGGAGATTTTGTTTCATTGTATAGTTTAATAGTTCTTTAATAGCATTATTTTAATAAAATGAATTTTTATGTTAATTTCAATTCTTAATTAGAATTTGATGGGTCTATTTGGGTTTGGAATTATTCTAAATTTCCTCCAAGAAAAATCAAACTCCAAATCACTTTGATTAAAAATAAAGGAATAAATTATAGCAGAGATGGATCAACTTTACGAATGTAATATTTCTTATCTAATAATTTTTTTAGTGATTAAGTAAAAGACACATCAAATGGAAATTAAATTTATACTAATTTAGAATAAATTCAATTTCTTCAATGGTCAGGAGAATTTGGAAAAAACAATTAAAAAATAGGAAGATGGACAGCCACTTGGAAAGAAGACACTTTAAAAAATGTTGGGGGTGAGTACTCTGAAGAGGGAGAAAAATAAGGTCTATGGAACGAATTAATAAAAAGTTTTTGTGAGTAATTTACAATCCCAAACTAATAGTCAAGCTGAAGTATATGCAGTGGGATAGTATATGAATGGCTAGAAGTAGGCAATTTGGAAGTACTTATATAATGATAAAGAGATGTAATATGATTATTTATTAAATAGTGGTGGTGGATCATATGATGCAGGGATTAAGAAAGGTAGGTGGATTTAATTAAGTGATGATTTTTTTTAGAAATCTTAAGTAACTTATAATGGTGAATTTAAAAATGGAAAAAAAGTTGGTAGATGGGATATTTTCTTTAAAGGGTAATACTAGAAACAATATTAAAAGATGTAAAATAAAAATATAATTAATTGAGTTTAGTGGTGGTGGATATTATGAAGAAGGAACTGGTAGTGCTAAGATGAGGAGATGGATTGAATTATAGGATGGATTTAATAATTATTCTTAAGTCATTTATAATGGTGAATTTTAAAATGGAAAAAAAGTAGGTATCTGGAGTATTTTTTATAAGAAGTATGATGAGATAGAATTTAAACAGTTGTAATATAATCACTTATACAAATCTTTTAGTGGTTGTGGATCTTATAGTAATGGAAATAAGACTGGGATGTGGATTGAATTATAAAATGGGTTTGATCATTATTCTTAAGTAACTTATAAAGGCATATATAAAAATGGTAAAAAAGTAAGTAGATGGGATATTTTGTATAGGTAATATGATGAGAAAGAATTTTAATAGATGTAATATTTTATTTAGTTTAAATTTACTAGTGGTGGAGGATTATATACTGAGGAAGGTAATGGGATTAAAATAGGTAGATGGATTTAATTAGATGAGGAGTTTAGGTATAATTCTTAGTTAACTTATCATGGAGAATATAAAAATGATAAGAAATTTGGTAATTGGGATTCTTTCTATAGAAAGCATGATGAAAGCACTTTTAAATTGATGTAAATTGTATTAAATTCAAAATTTTTTAGTGGTGGAGGGTCATATGATGAAGATGGGATAAAAATTGGGAGATGGGTTGAGTTGAATGATGGGTTTAATTATTATTAGTAAATCAGTAGTATTGGTTAATATAAAAATGGTAAGAGAGTAGGGAAATGGGATATTTTGTATAGAAAAGATGATTAAAGAGAATTCGAATAAATGTAAATCATTATGTTAAGCTATTTTAGCGGTGGTGGATCATATGGCAAAGAAGGTGATGGGATTAGGAATGGGATATGGACTGAGTTGAGTAATGAATTTTAGAAAGATTATTAAACAACATATTATGGTCAATATTTAAAAGGTAATAAAATTGGAAGGTGGAATATTCTATTTAGAAGGCTGGATGAAAAAATATTTAAATAGATGTAAAATTATTGTGTTCAGTTGTTTTTAGTGGTGGAGGATCTTATGATGAGAGAGGCAATGGTATTAAGACTGGTAGATGGATTGAATTGACTGATAGATATGATAATTATTCTTCAGTCACTTATGATGGTTTATATAAATAAGGAAAAAAAGTTGGTATATGGGTGAAATAGGGCCTGATCTATGGACATTAAATATATAAAGAAATGATATATGATATTTGAATAACAATAATACTAATCTGAATCTGTTAAGAAAGTAATATAAATTTTTAATCTATAATTTTTTATTAAATTAGTTTCATGTTTTTATATAACTTATTATTTAGCTATTTTCACTTATTAATACTTAATATTTTGAAAGTATAAGTTTGTTATATTTTATTATCTTTTGAATTTTAGACTAAAATTAAAAATTTCATTATCTTAAATTTAATTAATGAATTGTAATGATAATCTAAAATATAAGAAAAATTTGATGAATACTTTACCAGAGTTTTCATAAACCTTTAATAGAAATAATTTATATTAATTTAAATTAAAAAAGATAAAAAATGCTTTAGACTATCTGCTAATTGTAAGGAATCTAATTCAAAATTTTGTTTATGATGTTTAATCAATTCTTATAAACATTTAAAATTAAAAAATGCCAGCAAGAAATTTGATAAAATTTACATACTCTCCTTGAATTTTTTCTGTATGAACTTAAGAAATTGTTAAAAAGTTTGAATAGGACATATTCTATTAATTATACACAAAATCAAACAAAGTTAAGGGTTTTTGGAATCATTTTTAATACAGTTAAAATTTATTACTAACTTCAATTATTAATATTGTTGTTTATAGTAAAGAAAAATACTAAATTTAATTAGCCTACATTCTAAGGCTGAAATTTATTAAAAATATTTCTTTAGGTGAATTAATGAATATTTCAAATCATGATGATTATATAATTTAAACATCTAAGGCAAAGCTGCTAGTTTAAACAAAATAATTGATAAATAAAAGAATAATAAAATGAGAAAATAAATCTAATAGAAAACATGTTAAATAGATTGAACTATTTCAAAGTCTAATTGACAAATTTTCAAATTAAAAAAAAAATTATAATTATAAATGAATTGATGGTTTGCTACAATATATTTTTTATTTCTGAAATCTAAATATTGGAGCCTTGACCAGCAATATCTCATTCATTTCCTCTTAAACCAATAATTTAATTACTTTATGATTTATCTCTTGCATTAATTTGTCTACAATATAAATCTATATTTTATATACATCTTCTATTATATTTAGAATAGAGAAATACACCAATGTTATATAATTAAAATTAAAGAAATCAAGCCAGGGAAATGGTATTTATGAACAATCAACATTTCATACGTCACAAAAGAAAAGAAAAAAAATTTTTAGTGAATCAGTAGAAGTCAATTAATTTTCCTTTTGCCTTTTCCTGATTTGGATCCAAAAAAGATAGATTTTTTTGATTTAGAGATATAGAAGCAATGTGGTCTTTCTTGTTTTTCAAAAGGACTACTTGCCTGAAATGATATCTTCATGAAATTTATTGAATATAGCACTTAGAAAATTGTTTTAGAATAAAATAAAACTGTTTAATGAGTTATCTAAGTATAGATCTCTGAAATTAGAATGAAAAAATATGCAAAAAAAGAAATAACAAGCTAATAGTAAAATTGGAAAGATAAAATTACTTCTGAAAGAAAAGAGAAAACTGAGCATAACATAGTTATGCCTAACGAAAGATACGTTAAGTTAATAAAAAGTTATATTAAAATGGCAGCTAGTTCTGTTTAGAAGTTCAAAATTACAGAAGAAAATGGTTAGGAGGAGAAAATCATCAAATTATATTCAATTCTAAGCCTAAATTGATCAAAAATTTAAACAAGTATATTTAGGGAAACAATTATATTAATCATAATTAGTTGTGCAACATTAAATAAAGTTATAATCAAGATGATATTAGATATAATGAATCAGAACAATGACAGTAATAAAAAGTAAAAAGATCTTATAATAAAAAGAAGTCAGTACAAATGAGAATTAATTCATCAGTCAAATAGAATACAGAAAATAATATAATAAAAAGAACAAATTTCTGAATGGATGCGTTAAATTATGATCATCATTTTGATATTACTATTTAAATTATTTTAGCGTTAATAATAAAAGATTCTGATAATAACTCCTAAACTATCAATAACAGTTATTCAAAAGCCAAATATATTGTGAACATAAATTCTTTCAATAAAAGTATATTAATATAATTTTCTTAAGAAATGTTTTATTTAAATTTAATGTATGTAAAATCATCCTCTCTAAAAGTTGTCGTTTTCAACATATAAGGCTATTTCTAATTTTTCTCTTAAAACTTCTTCAGAATCATATGCTGGAATTACTAAGAGATTGTGACTATGTAAAATAATATCAAACTATACCATGTATAAGCTTCGGGAAATCTATGATTTGTATCAGTTATATCATGTTAAATTTAAATTTCAATTGGACTTGATAAAGCTTAAAATCCTCCGGCTGGTACAAGGTCAGTACCTAAAGATGCTTTAAGATAATACCTGTAACAAAATTTAGAAACTTAGCTAACTTATCTTAATTGTAAGTTCTTAATATGTTTTCAAGCCATTAAATCACTTAAATATCTGCTCTATTATATTTAAGGTTCTCGATAAGATTCTCGACTAAAAACATAATTTAATATAATTTACCTTTAATATATTCCTTACCGCATAACAATGACTTAAATTCTTTTGAATCAAAAATTGCAATAAGATTTTTAGGTATTATCGAATAAAATCCTTCTTAAATGGCTTTAATCTGATTTTCAATATTTTTTGCCATAAATTAATGGCAATATTTTCTTATATAATCCTTTTTATTTTATGGTGTTACTTCAATATCTTTACCTCCTGGTATTAACTCCTTTTCTTCTAGTTATCCTCTATTATTAATATAATATGTAAAAAAACAATCAAGATTGGAAATATCGTTATTATTATAAATGTATTTCATGCTAGCCAATTCTTAAGAATCATAATCTTTCCAATCTTCTATAGATAACTTTCTGCCCAAAATATGTTTAAATAAGAGGGTAGAAAATTTTCCATGAATTAAACAGTCTTACATAAGAGCTTTTGCAAAAATCTTTCCAACAAATTTGAATTTATTAAGATGATCATAATCAAGATAAGATTCACTATTTATTTAATAATATATTCTATTAGGAGTACGAATAAATAATTTACGTTATGGATTTAGAATTTCCTTTGAAAGTATTTTAAACCAATTCCTAATTAGGCCTCCATAATCTTAACCTATTTATCCTACAAATTTGATTTGAAAATCTGTTTTGAGTTAATTAGTATTCAAAATACTAATCTATCTGTAAGAATCCTCAAAAACTGTATTTATATTGATATTAATTATAATTTTTTGTTGTTCTACTATTGCCTCATTTCTTTATCTCAGATGATCAATTTTATTTCTAAAATATTTTTTCTTAACATCAGAATAGATTATATTATGATGAGTTTAAACAAAATATTCAACAAAATATTCTAATAAACTTCTTTTTTTTGACTAATTATTATTTCCTCTTGTATTTTAAAAAGAATGTTATATTTCAATTTATTCTTTTATTATGCTATTGATATAATCTTTACCGTTCTGGCTAAGTTTTAAAAATAATTTTTTATAGTCAAAATCATTATGATCTGATTAAGAATTGGATATTTCCATTGAAGATAATTTTGGAAATTAAAAACTTTAATACTCGTTATGATTAATAATTTCATCACAAATCAAAAAAGATTCAATATAAGGCAATAAAAATGAGCTATATTCTTAAACTTATAAAGGTTAAATTGTAGATATACTTTTTTCCATTTTTGTCCATAATTATTGAAGTTCAGGCTATTCCAGAAACTAATGCCAATCATTTTTTTAAGAAGAGTTCTCAATTGACAAATTATAAAAAATATATTAAATTAGTTAAAATATCTTCTTTATTCCATCTTCTTAATCTGTAATTTAATCATTTGTATTTTTTTATATTAAGTGATTTTCAAAATTCTATGTGACTTATTTTAAATGGTTCTATATTTTTTCTTAAAATCTAATGAAATTGCTATAGTTTTTCATAAGAATTGATATAAGCTTAAAGAATAATTAAATTCTTTAATTATTTTTCTCTTTCATAAATAGAATATATAAATCATGAATTCGATTACAATGTAATTTTTCTATATTTTATTAATATTTTATGTAGTTTTACAGCACTTATATTATCAATTCTAAATTATTGTCTTCAAATTTAAATAGTAATTCAGTCATTGTTCTAAAATTTTAAGTTGATAAACTACATTTTGATGATTTTACAACTTTTAATAAAGTTTATAAAATTTTTGGTGAAATAAACTTTGAGAATTAATTTAAATCGCTGGTTATCACATTTCTAGTAACAATAAACATTTCTTTGTCAAAATTCTATTATCTTATCAATTTCAAATTATTAATAAGATAATCAATTATTTAATTGGCTATTAAAGATGAAGTACCTAAATTCATCAAGAAAGTATTTATGGAGTTATCCAAAGATTCAAAATTATCATCTACCTACAAAAATTTAATTATAAATTATAAAAATTAGTGATCTACTAAACCTAATAATTTTAGTGTTTATTTTCTATTATTCAGCACAGATTTTATCGTATTTTTAATATCTTATAATAAATCATCATCTTATTAGATTACTTATTCAAAATAATCCTCTTGGTTTATATTTTATGAATCACGATCCTCATAATCTTATTTAATGATATCTATTATTTGATGATTTGAGTTTTAATATAGCTCATCCTACCAAAATCTATTCATAGAATTAATAGGTAGATTATTTTATTATGGTAATACTGACTAGAAACTTGTTAATATTTCTTAAAATTATAAAGGTAGTAATATATTTAAATCTATATTAAAATATCCACAATCCCAAAGAAATTAATCTGATTTATTTTTCATCTGCGGATTATATAAGATATTTTAATTCTCTAAATTTTTTGAATGAAAATTTTCTGTTACCTAATCATTTTCATCTATCCAATTTATTGATTATTATTCTAAAGCTGCCGCACAAATTTCATATGAGTTTTCATAATTTTCAATTTTTAATAATTTATCAAATGGAATTTCTTACTCTTCTTCTATCTAAACATAAAATTCTTCATTTTTAACTGTTAATAGGGACCATTTTTAAGAAAGAAGATTTCTTATAATTTAATTTTGTTTCACTCCATCTTGAGAAGGTAACATTAAGTTTTAAAATAATTATTGGTTTATCTCATCTGGAAACATTTAGAAAGAATCATCATCTATTGGTTCAATTTTTTCTAAAAGTAAATTGATAGCAACACTGTAAAGCATATTTAAAGTGTTTATAATGATAAATAATTGATTTTTGAAAATAAAATATTATTTAATATCGAAGTTTTTGATTCCATCTATGTAAGTTTTAATAAAATTAAATGAGTTTAAAGGCTCGTTAATATTTTAGATACAAATTTTTGCAACAGATTTTATTTACAATAAAGTCATTAATATATCAGAGAACCGGCATATTTTTTCGTCAAAAACTTGAATAGATTTATTAATCTCTACAAATAATTCACATATTACTAATCTTCTAATCTCATATGCAAAAGGAACAATTACATTATCAGATTTTCTAAAAAGAACTAAATTATCCAAACATATATAAAATATAAAATTCTTAGATGGATTTATAATTCTCGTTATTAAAGTCAAGAATGAAATTTATTATGAGGGATTAATATGGTTTATAAGAAATTTTTAACAATTTATTCTTAAGAGTTATGGTAAGAGTATTGGAAATTTTTTAATAAGCAACTATAAAACATCCAATATCGTATTCCAATGATATTGATAATGTTCATTATTTTCAAAATAAGATGTAATCATTTATTAAATGAAAAGTCTAAAAAGAGTTTATGTTTCTTATTTATGTTTGAAATTAAATTGTAAGATTGAATTTTCATTTTAATTGATACTATTTAATGTATCTAAAGCTATGCCTTATTTTAAAACGAAATATTAATCATCTATTGATTTTTTAAACAATAAATTCATTATATATTTAAAATCTTCTTTAAACAAGTGCTCTTTTTCAAGTGCTAGCAAAGCTGGGTGATTTTTAGCTAATTTTAAATTTTCATTTGCTAAGACATTGTAGTATGTTGGCTAAATACAAATAGGATATGGGTTTTAATTCAAATAATTTTGCTATAAATTAGTTTTTTTGATTTCATTATTTTGTTCTTAATTAAAAAGTATTCTCTTTATTTGAGTTTCTAATTAGACTCTGACTAAAGTCTAATCATAAATTATAGCCATAGCTATTTGACAGACTAAAAAATTGATATTAACATTCTCCTTTCATTTTAAGTAAGGCTTCTAAACCCTTCTTTTTCAAAACAAATTCAGTTACATATTATCTTTCTTTTAAGAAAACTTTTACTAAAATATCAATACAAATTTTAGAAGTTATATGATTTTACACATTAGAGTTTAGAGACAATTTTATCCCCTTTTTTATTAAAGCAAAAATGCAATAATCATATGTATTTTATTAATTAAAAATGGCTAGGATAAAATTAGCAGCTAAGTGTCCGTTTTAATCCTCTTGAATTAGCAAAACAACAAGTAATTTAAGTAGTTCCAGAATAAACGAGTATTGATCTTGTAATAAATTATTTTATTAATAAATCAAATGTAAAAGCACTATTAAACTATTAATATTCACATTAGATAGATTTTATATCTCTTATTGTTCATATTTAATTCTTAAAAAATTTAATTTTAACTTGAATAATCGATCAACTATTAATTCTAAATATTTATATAGTTCTAGTTCATCAAATTTTATATTAAGGTTTTATAATTTATCGATTAATGAATTTGAAAAAAAGAAAATATTTTGCTTAAGATATACTCCGAGAGCTTCTTATTCTATTTAATATCTATTATCTATCTATTATTTATATAGGTTTAATTGGGCTCTGCTATATTAATAAATAGAATCATTATTTCTTGTTGGATAAATAAAATTTTGACTTTACATAAAAAATCCTTTAATCAATAAATATTACTTAATTTATTAAATGTTTTAGTGCGAGGAATCTTATGTTATTAAAATCAAATTTTAAATATTTTCAATCATTTTTTTTTTTGTTGATAGACTATGATTTTATCTTGGACTGTCATATAATAATTTCAGTATTTATAAAATATTTTCGTTTAAGTCTTATATTAGTTATTAATTTGGGTTTACAGAGTTGATTATACGAATGTAATTTTCTAAGGTATTTTACAAATTTTGGTCTAATTTAGAATTGAAAATAATATCTTAAATCTCAAAACTTCTCTTTTATAAAAATTCTAATAAAAAAATAATTTGTTTAAGAATTTAAAGAGTTATTTCAGGAATATTGTTTAATAACAAACTTATTTTACTAAAGAATTAACTTAAAATTTAGTCTCTATTTGTTCTATCATGAGTTCTTTTAATTAATATAAAAATGATAACAAGTATGTATGCACATGGATGATTTGCATCATCAACTATCTTGCTCTTTGATATCCAAAATTGAGAGATAATCTGAATTTCAAATATTGCAATACATTTATTTATTAAGTCATCATTTAAAATTTAAACTTACAATCTCCTAGATTAAATTGAAATCTTAACTTCATTAAAATAATGTAAAATTTCAGAAAACCGAGAAGTTACTTAGTAAGTTTAAAGAGAGCAATTCTCTAAGAACTATTATTAATTTTAAACCAAATTTTTAGAATTATACAAAGAAAATCCCAAATCTGCTTCCCAAGATTCTATTAATTCGAATGCCTTTTTAAGACATTTATAAGGATCAAGATTAAAAGATGTAAAAGAACTAAATTATGGGATCTTGAATAGCATCACAAAAATATCGAAATATCCTTCAGAGTGTAAAAATCGATTATTCTGAGATAAAGTCTTCATAAATTATTCTATTGCTCTTTTTTTTTTAATTATCATTACATATTAAGATTTAAAATTCTGATCATAGTTTAATTGGTTTTATTTATCAGTTAATTATTATAAAAATAGTTATAATACTTTTATAACAATTTTAATTATTAATGTTATACTTTTTTCATTATTTTTATTTGCTATTGAAGCTAAATCAATCAAACTCTATTTCTGAATAAGTTCTCGAGTAATTAAGTGATAATATAATACCCTTTCAAAAAAAATTATTGCATCATTATTAAATTTTTGGAATCCATTTTCTTATTGGGAAATATTTTAATAAAAATTAAGAATATTAATCATATTTTATGATTTTAATTCAACTATATTGATTTTTTAAATAATTTCATTCAAAAAATCTGGTAAGTTGGTATTAATAACAATGACTGTTAATTAAGGAGCAGCATTTAATAATGTAGAAACTAATTTAAATGTTATTAGAATTGTTTTGTTTAATTAAACTGCTTATTATAATTTAGTTGTTATATTACTTAACAGTTTAGAATCTAAAATCTTTGTAGCAAAAATAGAATCTCTATCTTGATTAATATCATGATACTTATTTTATCCAAAAACTTGAATAATAGCTTTAATAACACCATAAATAATTTCATATGCTTCATTCAAGCATATTTAAATATAACCATTTTCAGTTGGTTTTTACAAACTAAGACTTTAATTTATGTAGTATTCAGCTATTTCTAAAAAATAATCAAAAATCTAATTATTTCTTTGCAGATCTGAATATACAGATAAAAAACTTAAAAGCCTTATTATTCCAATTAATTATTTAGGAGGAAGCATTAATTTATTATCCTAAATACTCAAAGCTTTTTTTAAAATTTTCTATGTTTCATTTATTTCTTAATATTTCTCTAAGGATCTTTCATTTGATAAAGGTTGGAAAAACTTTAAGATACTATTAATTATCAATTCATTTCTAGCTAATCGTTCAGTCATTATTTAAGGAGAGTATCTTAAAGGATAACCAAGAATTTATTCATTTTTTTCTATATGCTATATTGACAAAACATCTTAAAGAAGTCCTAATATTTCTTTGGCTTTTTTTTAATAATATGACTCTTTAATATTTCTTGAATAGATTAAAAGTAACTCTTTTAATACAAGTGTATCTATTGTTTAAAGCTTAAATAAATTAAAATAATCAACATCTTCAAAATCTTTAACATTTTATTTGAAATATTTAATTGAATCTAAGTTATATTCATTTTTCAATAAATCTTGAAGATATTAAAAAGATTTTAAATGTAATTTGATAATGGTATTTCTGGTTTATTCTGGCTTTGAAAGTAATCCTCTTCTAATAAGTATTCTATATTTAAGAATCTCAATCATTGGTGAAATGTGCTTATCATGCATATTTAATAAATTTCTTGATAAATTAAGTGCTGAACTTGAATGATCATCTATTATTGTAATTTTCTATAGAATATATATTTTATTAATACTTTAGTTTAGATCTCTCTATACAGACTTATATTTTCAATCAAGTTCTGAGATAGGTATTCATAACTTTCCACTAATTAGGTTGGTTCATAATATTCTATATCAAATTATAAAGCATCAATTGGATGACAAGTAATTGTGTTATATTTTGGATCTTAGTAATAAAAATCTATCAATTCTATTTTTTTGGAAGCCAAATAATTAACATGATCATATAATATTTTCTAGAAATAAAGAATTCTTAGAGTTAAATTTTGTTAGATTCTAGCATCAAAGCTCTTTAATATCTATAAAACGTATTCATAAATAAGTAAATCATCTGTATATTCAATTATACAAATTAAATGTTCATAAGACTAAAATTCTTAACTATTAAAAATTATTATAGAATTACGAGAAAATTATATTATTTTCCATTAATTCTTCTATAAAAATCAAAACCTAAGAGCAGTTATACCAAGAGTTATTTTAGATCTCCCTGGCAACATTTTCTAAGTTTTCATCAATTTTATTCAGCAGATATCGCAAAAAAGAGGTGCGAAAAAAATCTTATATATCATCTTTGTAATCTATATAGTTTTTTATTTCTTTCAAGTTAAAAGAGTCTATTAACATTTTCATCTAATTATGTTTCTTAAATTACTTCTGCATCTACTTCAAAAAATTCTGATGCTGTAAGTTAATACTTCATAAATTTAATAATGATTTTTTTTACTTCAAAAAAAGCTCTTAAATATATTTTCTCTTAAATTATGTACAAAACTTTTTTATTTTAGGGAAAAATAATTAGCTCAAAACTTTGAGAAAAAATCATTCCATTAGATAGAAAAAATATGAGCTAATTTTATATAAATCATTAATAGGATAGTTGATGCTGAGAATGGCTACATGAATCTTGTAAATCCTAATACAATGCACATAATTTTTAATAATTTAAGCTTTAAATTGTGTTTAATGTCTAACTTTATATTTTAATAAAACAATTTTCGAAGATATTGTAGGTTATTAAGATCAAATAATAATCATTATTAGTCTCAAGTTGTGCTTATACCTATTTATTTTTTTAATTTAATTCAACAGATTTTATTAATTTTTTCCCTTAATAAATAATATAATTTTTTAGTATTAATTCAAAGAATACAAAAATTAAAAAAAATTAAAAATCAGAACTAATTTGCAGAGACCTAAATGAAGACTAATGAATATGATATAGAAATTTGAATATTGATAATACATTATTTTGGTGTGAATTTAACTTGTATCGAGAAGGTTAGCTGGGGTTAAATTGATGCAATTATAAATTTTATAATATCTTAGCTTGTTTTTTATTGAGAAATAAAAAATGTTAATATTCTATTATTTGTAAAACAAATATTTATATATTTGGATAAATGGGTAAGGAAAATAATTCTAAACATTTTATAATTTTCGTTAGTAAGGATAAATATTGAAATTTAATAATCGAGTGGCTTAAAATTTAGAAAAAGGTCATGAAATTATATTCTGTGTAATAGAATGGAAAAGATATTAAAACTAAAATATGGTTTAATTTTAGGAAATAAAAGATATCGGTTGAAGATTTTTAATCTCTTACCATCATTTATTTAGAGAAGTTAGAGGATGGAGAAATAGATGCATCAAAACTAAATTGTTACAATAAAAAAATTAAAAAATCTGAAATAATCATTAATTAGGACATCTAAAGAAGAAAGAGATGTAAAAATTATATTGATTAAGATATCTAATATATATTTATAAGATAATAATATCTAAATTAATATCTTAAGTTTCTATTTATCTGTTAATTATAACTGTTTATTTCAATATGTCTATAATTGAGAAAAAAATCTTAGTCGTTCCATTTAAATCTTTCATAAATTCTAATAATCTCAGATGGCTAACAATCCTATTAACTAACCAAGCAATCAATATCGAACAATCTTTATTAGCAGTAATTGCATGGCACCTCTATCTTACTCAGCTGAATCTTGTTGAAATTAATAACTTAATGGTTTAAGATTTGCTTGGTTAGATGTAAGTGTTGTAAGTTATTAAATAGTTTTTGATTTCTTAAATTATGGAATCTCATAATCCTGTTCTTTAATTTTCTTTCCCATTTAGTTTTCGCTTCCTTATATTAGTTTTTCTCTTAAATTTCTAATGATTAATAAACTATTTTTCCTTAACTTTTATTAAAATTTATATAAATTGCTTCAACTTTACTTTTGTATTCTAGAATTATTTAGTCTCATTTTTGTTAGATTTTTTTTTTAAGACAATTATAGACATAGACAATTAACTTTTTGAGATCAATAAATTTACAGAAATTTGTTAATTAAGAGGTTGATTATAAGAGTAATCAATCTTCTTAAAATTAAATTTATATATTAAAAGTATAACTATTTAATCTAACTTGAATAATCGAATATATATTTTCTAAGGATATAAAAAATTGTAAATAACAGTATATTTAATTGAATTTGTTGTTAGTAAAAGGATTCCATTATTTCTTATTTTGTTATTAGAATACTTATAATTAAGGTTTTGTATTAATCTAATCCATAAATATTTGTAAAATTAATTAAATTTTATTTAATGAATAATGGAATTAGATACATCTCAGAAAATCGATCTTAAGATCTAGTATATTATTTTCCAAATTGCACATCAAGAAATCCTTTTCATAACAATTAGTATTTGTTTTTATTTTTTTTAGATCCAATAATTCTGATACTTTAGCATAGTAGGATATTAATTCCTCTGTAATAAAGTCTACTTTTATAGCAAAAACACTAATTGTAATAGGTGTTTTATTCGGAATTATATTGGTAATATTAAAGATGTAGGGTCAAAATTCAATGTTATAAGAATACTTATTTAATGTTTATACACTTAAAATCTAAGTAACTTCATTTACTTTTGGCTTTATTTTATTAATTGTGATCATAGCAATACCCATTTATCAAACTTAATTTAAGGAAGTATTGTTATTTAAATATATAAAAAGACTCAAGCTCATAATATAATAGGTTAAATATTATAGACATTATTCTTTATTTCATTTATTATTTCAGCTGTTACTTTCACTTATTTTCTGTTTATTTATTTTAATAACGGATGTAATATCCATTTAAAATTATTTTTAGATTATCTAGTATTAAGCACTATTTTATGCTTATTTTTAGTTAATATAGCATTAGCAATTTATGTAGGGTGCAATAAATAATAGTATAATCCTAAAAGTAATATAATATTTTTTAATTTTAGAATAAGGTATCTGTAGCATAATTTTAATATGGATTTTTTCAATTTTATCAATTTTCTACTTTTTAAATATTTGGTGGTAATTATTAATTTGTGGAATTTTAATTATGACATTTGAACTCTTAGTAATTCATTCTGTAAAATTCATTATAGAAGAATATGTATAAATCATCATTAAAATATATAGGAGTTTAAATTAACCAATTAAGATTATATAATATCAGTCCCACTCATTTTTTTTGTCACTATAATTTCATTTTTAGCTATAATTTTTATTATTGTAATAATTATAGGATTATTATGCAATTCAAAGAGTTCAGAAAGTCTAATTGATGATGATAGTTGATATCATTATATAATTAAATATATTATCATATATAGAATATGATTAGTAAAATTATTTTATTTTCTCGATTATAAACTTTATAAATAATGTTTAAATAACTTTTCTTTCACAAATTAATTAATAAAGTTTGTTTTTTAAGATATATCAATAAATTTTATTGTTATCTCCAATATTAGCAAATATCATTAAAAGCCTATTTTTTATATTCTCCTTATTCTAACCAAAGCTTTATCATTAAGTCTTGAAGATTTGAAGATAGATAAATAAATATATCAAGAATATTGAGATATTTAAGTGTTTCCAAGATAGTTTATAAATCATACATCATTTATGAAAACAATTATTAAAAAAATATAAAGTTATCAAACTACAATTTTAAAATATTGTAATCTTTCATTCTCTTCAGTAATTCCAATTATCAAGCCATCAGTTATCTAAAAACTATCATATTACTCTACATTCTCCTTTTTGAAATTTAAACTCAGTTATGTTTTTACTCCTTTAATAATATCAAATTTATAAAAATTATAATTATTCACATCATTCTATCTCTGATAATATCCATATAAATATATAGTTGATTAATTTTGATAAATATTACTTTAATTTTTATCATAGTTATTAATTTTACGTACTAATTTACCATTTTTAATTTATCTTATTGTTATTGTTCCTTTTAAATAAAAAGAAGCTTCAATGACAATTAAACTTTTAAAAAATAAAACAAATTGAGGGTAACCTTAAATATTCTAATTCTTACAAATAATTTTACTATTTTTTATATTTATTAGGTATTAAATCCTATTATTGACAATAATATAATAAAAGCCTAAAACACTTTTTTAAATCAATGAAATTTATTAACTTTTTATTAAATCACTAATATCGAGAATACATTATTCGCTGCTTGTCAAAGAAAGTATATTTATTTATTTTTCTGAATTATTAAAATAAAGATTATTTTCTTAGTCACATTAATAGACATAGACTTACTTATAAGAACTGAGATCAATAATTTATGTCTAAGCCGTTTTAATATTAATGATTCTAACCTCATATTAATTCCTTTAAAATAAAAAGAAATTTGAATCTAGTGTGAATTATTGAAAAAAAGTCGTAGTCTAATTAATTAAAAATTTTTCCTCTATGATTATGGAATTGGTTGTAATTTCCAAAATAATGATTTAAGCTATTCCTTTCGACATGTTTGCTAAAGTTCCATAATTTTTAAGTGACAAAGCAATATATTATTAATTAGGGGATATCAAATATGAATAATCCTTCCAATTATATTTTTGATATTGTTTAATCGTATAGCTTCCTAAGAATTAAAGTTCATTTGCCTTTCTTTTGATTCTTGTTAACATAAATATATAAATTAAATATATCTTGAATTATATATTATTTCATGTAACATTGTTTATACTATTTCTTATAAATAGGATTACATAACTTTTTTAAAAAGTCTTAATTGGAAATAAACTTTTAAATGTATAATTGGATAAATTAATAACTTGGGAAAAATGAGTTTTGTTAAAATAATCTACATTTCAGTTTAATTTGCTAACCTTAACTTAGTTGAACAGGTTTAGTAAAGTTAGAAGTAAAATCATAAAAGATAAATAAATGATTATATTAATAGCTGGTCCATTTTCAGAAAAAAACTGATTTAAATCTTTTGAGATGACCTGATAAGAATGTATTGTAGATTAAGAACAAACCTTCGATATCAAGAATTGGAATTAAAACAGTCCAAAAATGTCTTTAATATCTTGGGTTAACAAAGAATGAACCTGCAGATGAATTCATGGCTGCAATAGTTTATGTATTAATGATATCTTTCCAACTCTATTTACTTAGATCATATTAATTACCATAATTTGCACTATATCATATTAAGGCATAATCCTTATTAAATTGACAGATTTCACATAGTTTATTTGTGACAATATATCAAAATTAGTTTAACAATTTAAACAATATATTACACGTTTCAAGCACAGATATATTAGATTCCTAATTAGTTTTATTATTTTAGATTTATCCTTCCTAAAGAAGAATCTTTGATACATGAGAAGCTAATAATGATCACATATGAAAGAATTATATCATCATCGCTTTTTTCTCCTGATAGAAAAGCAGATTTCCTTTTGGAGATAAAGCAATACATTAAATTTCCTAATTTTCTCCATCATAAACTTTTTATAAAATAAATTTCTCATTTAGGTTTTAAATTTAATAACCCCTTGATTTTGTAGTAAATATTATATTGAAAATTTTAAAAACTATTATTGGGTTCAAAATGCCAGCTATATCATCAGAATTTTAATCTAAATATACGAGGAGGATAAAAATAAGCATTTTTTGTTTTAGAACTAAAATATATTAAGTCTCCAACTGATGAGTAAATAATCTTACCATTACCTTAATCAAATTAATGGCATTTTTCTAAATTTATCAATTTTTCAATATTTATTATTTATATCTCCCCTGAACAGCTTAAAGCAAAGTAATCTTCTTTCTCTGAAAATACAGCTATTTTATTTTAATTACAAATTGCTTAGAATTAATTTAATTATAATTAATCAATTAAATCAAATCTTATTGAATTTTTAAAAGTAATCAATGAATATTTAGAAGTGAATACTATTCCGGTAATTAATTCTTCAAACACAATTTTTTAGACATATTCAAATTAATGAGCAATCACTAAAATTTCTTTTGATTAAAATTATACCAAACCTACTTTGCAATCTTTGAATTTATGTATAATTAATGGATTTTACAACTTTTATTGTAATAAAAAAGAATTTAAGATATCTAAATATTTATTATCTAGTGAGAAACAATAAAGTTTCTTATCTTAACGATTTAATTTTGTGTTATAATAGAGTATTCTAAATATGAAATGGAAGAACAGAAAAATTACTAGTAAAAGTACCCATCTACATTCCAACAACCAAGAATTTATATTTATAATTCATCATCTATTCGGTATAAATAGATTATAGTATCATAACAAAATACCAATTCTTAATCATCATGCGAGAAATAGATTAATTTGATAAAGAACTTTCTTTAAATTTTTCTCCTTAAAAACAATTTTATGTTCTTCTTAATTGCAAATGCGAATATCTTTTTTTCTAGCTTAAAGCTAATAACTTAAATTCTTCATTAACATCAATAAATTAAGGCTCCATTCCCTTAAAATTCTAGATTCTTTGAAAATAAAACTATGTCATTTTTGTCAAAAATAATATCAGGCAATTTTTTCACTAATTAATTTTATTTAGTAGTTACATTCCATTCTCTTATATTTCCATCTGTGTAATATACATAGATTTTATATGAATCTTTAAAAGACATTTAATATGTAATTAATTCACAATCTTAAATTTTTAATTATGTTAGATTATCTGGATTGTAAATTTCCCATAAATAAATAATGTTGTCATAAATATTATAACCATTTTATTAAATATTTTCAATACAAGTTATATATTTTTTATCCTCTGAATTTTAATAATTCTGGGCATTTACGTCCTAAATATTTATTTATATCTTCAAAAAGCATAGCAATAAATCTTTCACCTTCTTTATAGGTAATATAATTGACCTAATACAAAAATTATGAATCAAAGAAAGTAAAGCATGTTTAGATTTAGAAGAAAATAATCTTCTACTTAACCATTGATTTTCTTTTTATTTCTCCATATAATTATAAATTTCCATCTTTGTTTAAATATAATATTATATTGCCATTTTTAGATGTTGTTATTGGGATAATTTCTGAATCGCATTTTAAAATCTATTATTATTTTTTTGTTGAAAATTTAGAATTATCAATTAGTTTTTAGAGAAATCAAAACAAATATTTTATGAAAGTTGTGAGATTTTGAGTTTGCTGATATGTTAATAGTTTTTTCCATTTCTTCTTTAATTTAGTCAAAACTAAATTGGGTAATATAATTGCTGAATAAAGCTCAATTTTCGATTCTGTTTAAATAGCCATGTAGTTTTTTATCTAACAAAAACCTATAGATTTGACATTCTCAACATAAAATAATAAATTATTGTTTTTCAAAAGACATAAAAAGCTTCTGTATTGATATTTATTATTATTATGGGAATGTAAACTTTATATTCAATATATCCTAAATAATAATCGCTTCATTATTTTTTATTCCTACTCCTCTCTCTCCATTTTCTTAAATAGAAAAACAATTAATATATTCATGTAACCCTATTTGATGAACTGTTTCAAAATCTTTTAAATTCCATATAATTATATATTTGTTTTTAAATAATGAAATCTCTTGATAAGACTAATTAGCATTAATTTCAAAGATTAATAATTTTTCTTTATAATCCCAGATTTTTATTTTATAATGTGATGCTAATATTAATAATAAATTTTGCTTATGCTCAAAAATTATAAATGCTTAGCAAAATATTCAAATTTTTCAGAGAATTATTCTTCATCAAGTTCATCGGAAAAATTTTATAGCTGAAAATCATTTTATGAAGCAATCAAATAATCTGAAGATATATGACCTAATTAAAATTATTTTTAAAATCTTAAGAACCTAAATAAACATTCATTTAATTTAGTAAATAAATAATGTTTGAGGAAGCTCTGCAATAATTTTAATTTTTAAATTATGAAAGTTTAACTATTTTAGTCGATTTTTAATTCATATTTTCTACATTTATTAGTTTTTCTCTAACAAAGTTGATTACACCTCAATAGTTATCTGTACTAATATTAAAATTTTCTTAATTAAATAGTGATTTTAACAAAATATCTTTATTTTATTCTAAATTATCATTGTTATATTCTGTATTTTATTAATATTATTCTAAAGCTTTTATTAAGGTTTTTCTAAATTTTTATTACATTCTATAATTTAATAAATGTTATTCAAAGAAATTAATAAATCAAAAATATATTTTGCAACATAAAATTCTTAAATTGATTTATGTGTGAATGCAAATGCACTTCCCTTACAATTTAATAAGATACAACTTCTAATTAATTTCTTATATCCATCTTCAACATCAAAATATTGTTTCAACCAATCATCAATAACTTATTAAATTTTTTAATTACTTTTTAAATCTAATTTTCCTTGTGGTTTATAGCCTATTTATGATAAATCTTTTAGTGTCATATCTATTGCTAAAGAACAAGAAAATTGATTTACATCAAATATAAAACTTTCATAATTTGATATTTTACCATGTTCTCGTTATTTTTGAATTTGTTATTTATGCTAAAAATTAATATAACTTTCATAAAATTCGAAAACTGTGAATTTTTTCATCTTTAAAGTCATTAATACAATATAAATATCATGAGGATTTAATCTTATTGTGTAACCATCAAAATTAATAGAGTCTCTATTTTGTTTTAATCTACAAACAATTGAATAGTTCTAAAAAAAATTTTAATTATCAAGACTATCAATAATTTCATCTATTTTTGCTCTATCAATTTTTGATTAATATTCTTCATCTTGTTCTTCTTCAGGTATTTATTCTTCATCAAGATTTATTATAATTCTTTATTATTGATTTTAGAAAAGCAAAATTTATTTTTTTATATTTTTTCTTGCTTTTTATGAAAGTCTAAATTGTTACTTAATTTTAACAGATTTATCATAAAGTCTTTTTTATAGCTGTTGATCCTGAATATTTCGAGGTCATATTCGGCAACACTTACACATCAATTTCTAACATAAATGGAATTTTTAATAAATCTTCTATTTTCACACTCTCAATTGATTATAGAAATTTATTAGCACTCCATAAACCCAATAATTCCTTTTTTAATCCAGTTGCTTATTCTTCTGTTAATATTTATAAAACTGTATGAGTTTTAATTTTTCCAATTATTATTTCTTCTTATTTATTTTGAAAAATTCCATCTTACCCTTAATTTTCAGATTTTGAAATAAAATTTTTAATCTATTAGGATATTAAAGTATAAATATCTAAAAATTCTACTAAATCAATTTTTATCCTGAAATTTATTTAACAAACTTATAAATTGCTTTTATTTTTTTTCACACTTAATTCAACATATTAATACAAATATTACCTTTGCTAATCTTCATTAAAATTTTATAATTAAACTTCCTTCAAAGTTTATAAACTGTCTCCATTAAACCAAATTTAATACCCAACAGTATTTAATATTTCTTTTCTTGTTTTAATAATAACCTTCATTTAACGAGTTAATTTATCAATACTCAAATCTTAAAACAATTTATTAGTCATTATGAGATTTTATTAAATACTTTTATCTCGTGATAGCTATCAAGTTTATTCCTTCTTCGACTATATTGCCTCTTTGAATTCCCTTATTTAATATTTGTCAAATTAATAGTTTTCAGATTCTAATACTTATTCAAATAAATTATATTTTGGATTCTGTATTGTTGAAAGAGAAACAAAGATGGGAATCTATTTAATCTAACGGTTTTGGTATTTCCATAAAATTCTTCTATTTTTCTAGCTGCTTTACTTTTACCAGAGCCAGCATATCCTGAAAGTAGCATCACATCTTTTTATTTTAATTAGCACCAAATAAATTCATTAATTTCTCCTGTAAAATCATCCCATCTATCAGCCATCAAAAATGATGTTTCAACATTATCATTAGTTTTAATACTTTATCAACTAACAAGATCATATTCAAGAGTCATTAATTATACATAAACTGAGTCTACTTCTGCTATTTTTGATTTTAATAATATCTTTTCTTTTCTAATATCTAATACCTCTTTATAACTTTTTCCTCTTAATTTACGAATATCATCTCCTACTTAATTTAAACTTTATCATAAATTATCGATTGAATTTTTCATTGATTTTATATCCTTTGATATATCTCTCAAAAATGATAAACTCATATTCATGGTCTCTGACATTTCTGATAGTTGTTGTCAAGAGATACATCCAATTCATCATAATTTAATTTTAATTGCGTTTATAGCTGCTCTTTTTTTTATTAATTACCCTCAAGTTTAATTTGTTACTAAAGGATTTCTAACCTTTCCTTACTTTATTTTAATTCACCTCATATTGAATTAGATAAATTATCTTAATCTTAAGAAAATTACTATTTCTAAATTTCTATTAACTCTTTATTTTCAATAAATATCTAACTCTTTAGTCTTTTTCAAATCCCCACATATATTATATGTGTTTTTTGAAAAGGAATTAATCTGTTACTCTTAAATACTCTATTATAATTTTATTAAATTATAAACTAAACCTTCTCTTACCTTATGGTCAGGTTTAAAATCTATTGAATCGAGTAGCTTCTCTTTATTATCCTTATATGCATTTTTAGTTTCCACCAAATCGAATCATTAATCTTATCCCCTTTCAATCTATGTAAATATTAGTAATGTATGTTTATCATGAAATATTACAGACTCAAAAGTATTAAAACTCAATATACCTCAAAATTAATTAAGCTTGACTTCAAAATAACCAATTTATTAATTTCGTTTATTTTAAAATAAAGGCCACATTCCATACATGTAAAATTGTAACCTCTGATGGACATTCATAATAATATATTCCGATAAATTTCTTATAACACTACCTAAAATAAGTTTTGACATTCTAAACATTAATTCTAATAATGTTTCTTACAAATGTTTATTGATACCCATAATAAGCATAAGCAGGATTAATGATATCCAATTTAGATATTGCAAAATTAAATAATTACATATCAAGTTCCTATGATCCCAATTTAAAAACCTGTTGAACCAGTATATAAAAAAGATCTAGAATGTTGCTATTGTAAATAAAATTAGTTTAGATACTTACAATTTTGTTAAATCATCTTTTTAAAAAAGCATTGAAACCATTAGAAAAAAATAAAACTGTTTTTAATAAATACATTTCAGTCTAAAAATTAAGGTGATGATGTTGTAAAGATATAGAACTTGAAGATCCTTAAGGAGAATTTGAATCTATTGATGATGAAATTAATAGACAAATTATTAAAAGAAGAAATATTGGATTTTTAAACTTTAGAGTGTTTGAAATTCATTTGACTGAAGTAGTAGAAATATACCAAGTACCTTAAAAAAATTTAATTGATCTTATTACTAAAAGAGAAAGAATTTAGAGATTTTAATAACTTTTTGTATTTTTCTTAAATTAAATGAGAACAATTTCGAAGTTGAAATCAATTTATAAATTCATGTAATTAAATTTTTAAACTATTTGTATTCTGAGTGCATCAAAAAAACAATTCTTGAATAACCAGATAGGATAAATAAATTAATAAATGGATAGTTTAGACAATATTAATAGAATATATAATAAAGTGATGCTTAATTATTTATATCAAAATGCTTAAGAAATTAGAGAATTTCAATTACAGATTTCCATTAATAGATTTTAAAAAAGAGATGATTGAGGTGAGAAATGATTAATTGGAGAAATGTATAGTGAAATTTTCTGATAATGCTATGTAATTAAGAATAAGAAGATTTCAGAGACATTATTTGAAGAATTAATAAGTGGATTTGGATTGCTGGATACATTAATTTTCTTTAATATCTACACTCAGATTAGTTATTGCACCGATAACAGATAAATTGTATATAAAATTGATGAGAGCTTATTCTATAAGTGTTCAGATTTTATGAATTTTATAATAGTAGGTAACCTTTAAAGGGATTAATTTCAGCAGAAACTTGGAAGAGTAATAAGAGATGTTAATTTTCCTAAATTTTTAAAAGATGATTTATCCAACATTTCAAATTTAATACAAAGATGCAATAGTATTATTAGGAATAACATGTTTAATTGTAAATATATCTTAGAGTATCAGATTTATCTCTATATACTTATCTTGTGACTCTTAAGAATCAAATTAAGGTATCCAAAATCTATCAATTTTTGAATAATTTTTTCTAAAAAAATATAGTTTTTAGTTTATAACTCAATAGTGAGCCATGTTCTTAGATTGACAAAATTCGATAGTGTAATTTACCTGAAAATATTAGGCTATATTTTCTTTCAATCTTTTTTTTGTTAGAAATTATATATTTATTTTTATTTTGTACTAATTTGTGTAATGAAGTCCCAGAACTTATTCCTAGATGATATTTACATGATGATTTAATCCCATAGTATCCAGTATCTAAACTATATTTGGAATAATCAAACTTTTTCTTTCTCTGAAATTTCAGTTTCTCTTCTACTACCTTATATTCCATATGACAATTTAATATTTATTTTATTGATGAATTAATAATTCCCCCCTTTCACATATATTTTTTTTTTTAATTTTTACAGATAATTAAGATTTAATTTATTACAAAATAAAAATGATTTTAAGATACTTAAAAAAAATATTCAAAATTAATCAATTTTATTTTTAAACAATTAAGTCTAATTATTTAAATATTTCCTAAGTTTTTATGGAATCGACAATTTTTATCAAGATTCCTCAAAGAACAGTTAGAAGCTATTTGTTTCAATTTTCTTTTTGTTTATGTTTGTTAATTAATTTAGATATTTCTTAAATTTTTCATATGAATTAAGTTCAGGTAAAATTAAGTAATAATTCATCGTGATTGATGGATAATTAAATTTTATCAAAAGTCCAAAAATTAAGCCGGAAATTTTAATTTGATATAATTTTCTTGAATAAAATAATAAATTGATTTCACTAAGGATATATTTGATGGTATATTAAGGTGTCTTTTCATATTAAAACAATTGATATTTCTTTTAATCATATATTAATTTGATTAATGAAATAACTTTAATTATAATTGTTATTTAATGTTGAATTGTTTTTAATAATAAATATGTTCAAATAGCTAAATTATGGGTTAGGCTAAAATTTTGGAGTTTTAGATTGATGATATGCATTTTGTATTGAAATTGATCACTGATATTTTTAAATAATCATATAGAAACAAGTTTCAATATACATTCCTAATTTTGTTATATAAATAATGAATTTTAAAGAAGCATTACTTAAACATCACTTATTGAACCTTACTTACTATTGTGTTTTAATGGCAATTATCCTTATGATTAATCTTGCAATAAGATTTTTATTAAAATTATTAAGTTTATATTTTATTTATTTGTATAATCTTTTAATTTATTTGTACCAAAAGGTTATCTAAACCTTCGTCTCTCTATTTCTAATAATTTATAATACCTTTTCTTGAACAAAATTAGATATACCTATTTATTCTTAAAGAATCAAATAGAATTTCTCTTCAACCTAGTTTTGGTCTTTTAAAACTTTATTGGAGACAATTATTATTGAATTTAAGAAAACTTCCACTATAAAACTGAAGTTTATAATTTGATATTGAAAATAGATCTCTATAAACTCTGTATAGATAATTCAATACAATCAAGTTCTATTGTAATCAAAATTACAAATAACACAGGATCCTTTCCTCTATCATTTGATCAGCTTTAATATAATAATTTGATGATAGTTAATATAAATATAATATTATATCTATCAAATATGGTTTTATATCTTTTTCTTAATTTTATTTAATGAATTTAATCAAAAGATTAATAAATAATTTTCAATTAAATATATTTAACATATTTATTTTATGATACTCACAATAATAGCGAATTTCATTTTGATAGATTCGATTTAATTTTTTCTCTGAATGAAGTATTTTGATAATAAAGAAATATATATCTTGAAAAGAACTAAAATATTTATCAATATCCATGAAATATTAATAAAAAGGCTTTTAATAGTACTTTATGGATCTTATAAGTATTTAGTCTGCTTTGCACTTTTTATTATACATAAGAATGGTAAAGTATTCGAAAAAGACAGGCACAAAGAATTGAATTACTCTACAAAGATTTCTTTTTATTTAATTTTCTGAGTTTCATTTTGTTTAAGATTGAAATATATTAATTGAATTAGCATATGAAACATAAATTATCAAATTAAAATCAGAAAATTGTGATTCAACTAGATAGTTAGACTTAAATTTTTTAAGTTGATAGATAATGGTATAATTCTTAGATTATTGTTCTTGTAATTGGTGGCAACATTTAAAATAAAATAACTTTATGAATTTTAGAGACTAGATCATCTCAATCAAAGTTAATTGAACAGAAATGCTTAGAAATAAAGCTGAGAAAGGATTAAATATCAAACCTTAACTTAGCTGTGAATTTTATTTTTAATATTAATTTTGCTGAGTAAGGGCATAAATAAAAATTTATATTATTTTCATTAGAATGAAAAGAGATATAAAATAACATTTAATTGTAAGAACTTTTAGAAATTTTAATTTAAAGGTTCAATAAAAGAATATATTGTAATGAGTAACTATTTTAATATTAACTAAGTTGGCTTATTTTAAATAGATTTCTAGCTATCTTTTCAAATACAAATATTCCTCTATTTAGTCTTCCAAAAAGTGTAAAAGCATCAAGTTAAAGACTTATATTCTACTACTTTTATATTAATAAAATGCATTCGAATTTGAAAATATAGAGTAGTTTAAGATTTTAAAAGCGTTATTATCTCAATTATTTAAATGATTTAGATAATAGATTAATTAACTATTTTTATCATTATTAATATCAATAAAATATTATAATTCTAATTTATGACCAACTCAATAATTTGTTAAAAACTGATTCATTAAAATTAAATAACAAATAAAATACTAAATTTTTAAATATTTTATTAGGAACTTAAATTTTTTATTTTTAATTCAATAATCATGTTATAATCATACCATGGCGAAGATTTATTGTTAATCTTATTAAACGACTTCATCAATTTTGCCTCTCTTAGGCACTTCTCTATCCCATGAATCTTAAGATGATCCCTTTTCATACATTCTATCTTATGTGCTTAGAATTTAACATTGTGGTATCTCCATTAGTAGTCCATAACTGCGTATCTTCCTTATTCTCTTAGTGTCTAATATGTTGTGTTCTACTCTTCCTAGTTAACCAATCAACATCTTATGTTATTCATAATAGCTCATCTTTTCATCCAGTCTCTTCATCATTCTAATCTTATGTAACTCTTTCTCCTTATATCTACCTTCTTTTCTTCTCTTTATAGTTTCTTTCCATGATTGTAAGATTTCATTATCATTATATCTTGTATAATATGCTTCTGTATATAACCCTATAATAAAAAGAGGATTCAAAAAAATATAATAGGTTACCGAATCTGAAACTATGTAAAAGTTTAAGAAAAATCCTAGCATTATAAACATATAAATCATCACTTAAAAGAAGCTGAACATCTTTAATTAATAATCCATAATTACTAGATACAATATTTGCAAAGGACATCTAATAGCTATTTTTGAATTATCAGTTAGATATTCTTCATAAAGTACTGTAGAGATAGCATAGATAAAAAGGAGATAATAAATAAATATCTTTAGGCTTTTGATACAATTGGAAATAATATATAAACTAGGTTTAACATTTTTGCCTAAATTAGAATAGATAGAATTATAATACTCTTAATAAAAAGATGAGGATATCATAAGTAAATAGTTTACAAACTTATTGATAACAAAGGGATTACTAAATATTTGATCCATAAGAATATCATATCAACTTAGATTCTTCTATAATTTATTCTTTCAATGTTTAATTAAAATTACCTTTAATTTCATTCTCAAATCTAATTCTAATTGAACATTTTCCTTTTTTCAAACAACATATTAATTAGTTTTTAAGTTTCTGGTTGTTGTATAGGTAAAGTTATTCTAACTTTATTATCTACTTCTTGAAGTGAATTTTAAGGTATTAAAAATTGTTCAGTTGGTTAAAATTTAGGAGATATTTCTAATCGATTAGTTTATTTCATATTATCTACATAAATATATATTATTCCTCCCTTAGCCTTTTCGGTTTTTTGGAGCAATATTTAATTTCATGTCTGGCTTACTTAAAAGCTTATTCACACTCATATTAAATGCCTAAATTATCCTATAATCTAAATAAAGAATCTAACATTAATACAACATTTTTGCTTTCTTCTTTCAGAATAGTATCAAAACCACAAATTTAAGAAAATATTATTGGCCCATCTAAGCTTCTTGTATTGAATTGAATAAATACCAGTCGATAATTATAATCTTACAAATCTTGGAACAAGAATACTTAATACGTTTTATACAGTCATATTGTCTAATTCAATTGAATACTAAGCTAAAAAATTCTTTCTTCTATGTTTTATGTTTTGTTGATTTATAATACAAAATAAAAATCAAATTGTAATGCTAATAACTAGAACATAAACAGAGATTCTACTTTATGAATATGTTCCATTTGAAATACTTAAATCAGCGGAAATAACAATAATTAATACTCTTACAATCCATTTTAAATAATAGATATAATTGTATAACATAATAGGAATAATTAACAATAAATAGGAAAAGTAATACATATTCATTTAAAATAAATATTATTATTAAAATATACACAAAATACTGATAACCAATCAATTGCAATTTTAATAGCAAATATAATTTATAAAAAATTTTTAAAATTCTAATCAAATTTGATTATAAATAATTTTTTTCGGTTAACAAATTTCTTATTAAAACTAAATATGCTGCTGAAATTCATAAATAGAAATTCATTATAAAGGTGTTTTTTTAATTAAGAAAGTTACTTGAAATACTTTGAATTTATTAGGTCTTCACTAATTACTTCACAAAGAACCTTAAAAAGGAATGATTGAAGTTACTGGTAAAATTGTGATTCAACTTGTTCAAATATTCAAAATAGTATGTATTTGAGACCTAAAAATACTCTTAAAAAAATAAATTTATTTAAAAATGTAGGAATAAGAATAATCTATATTTTGTAAATGCAAAAAGTAATTACCTATATAATATGTAATTCTTGATCCATTAAAAATGATGGAAGAGAGATTATTATGCAAAGATTGTAAATTGAATTTCGAAGAAAAATAAAAAGATAATATGATAAATAAGATCAAAGATTTATCAGAGATCAAACATTTTATTGATGATATTGAATTTTACAAAAAAAAATATAAGGACTTTCTAATTAAAATAAGAATAAAGGAGGTAGAAAATTTTTAATTACATTTGCAAAATTTTAAATCAGAAATAATGCAATAAGTAAATACGCTCATTTATTTTTCCAATTAATGGATTGATGACTTATTTTTCCTTAATTAACAGTGCGAAGAAGAGAGTTTTTTAAATTAATTAGATAAGTTGATATAATAATAAAATAACAAAGAATTAAATTATGAATTAGTAATATTATAAAAAATTGAATAAATCAATAATTAATGGAAAACTAAGGTAAGAGTCATTCTAGATGATTTTTAGAAATTGTCAGCATTCTAAAAATGTTAAGAATTTATTGAAGACTTTTCTATAAATCCTATTCATTATTTTTAATAAGAAAACTTTAAATCTTTGCCATATATCTCTTCATATTGCCCATAATTATAATCCACTCAAGCTATTTTATCTGATTTTATTGAGGATCAATAAATAACGGCAATTTAGTAGACTAAAAGCCAATATTTATTAATATAATAAAATAATAAGTATAAATCAATCAAATAATTTTGCACATTTAGTTTTAATAAAGATGATAATTTAATTATAGGAGGATATAGCAAAGTAATTAAAGCGTTTATATTTAAGAAAGGATAGCTGAAATAAATTTAAATTTTAAATGGTCATGAAGATTATGTGAGGACTTTGAATTTCTTTAAAGCGACATCATAGACTAACTTTGTTTCTGGAAGCGAAGATAAGTCTGTTAGATTTTGGTCAATTAATTTATTAGCAAAACCAAAATTTATTTAAAAGTTAAACGCACATTAAAATGGAATCCTTTGCTTAATTATAAACAAAAAGGAGAATTTAATTATTACAGGTAGTAGAGATACAACCATAAAATTTTGGAAAAGATTCTTGTAAAATGAAAATTAATATCTATTCTGGTCATAATAGTAAATTATTATGAATCATTCTCATAATGTTTATGATTTAAGTTTAAATTAGAATGAAGATAAATTGATCTCTTGTTCTGAAGATAAAAAAATCTTAGTTTTATCATATTAAGAAAAATAGTGGAAAATCTACCAAATAATTACAGTTTAAAATTTTGGGTACAGATTGTGTTTTATTAATAATAAATTATTCACATTTCAACCTAGATTAGGATTAACTATGCATGTATATGAAATGAATTAAAATAAAAAATATGAACATTCTTTTGAAATTGATGTGAAAGGAGGAAATTAAGAATGTAGAATATTTTTTCCTTAATAATATATTAATCAAAAAAATATTCTTATAAATAAGAATGGTTTTCATATAAACATAATCAAAGTAATAATCACAAAAGAAGAAATTAAAAAATAAAAGGTATATTTTAAGGTTGAATAATCAATTAATTACTTTAAAGATTCAACAGGACTTATATTTGGTTAATTGAGTGAAGATGGTAATTATTTAATAACTTGGGATGATAAAACTAAAGAATTACAATTGAGACAATTATAATATACGTGATTAAATCTATAATTAGAATATTAGATTTTTTAAAACATGAAATTATAAATTAGTAATTGAATATTTTATGTAGGATCAATTTATAAAGTATTCAAAATACGATCATACAGATGTTTTCCTATTCAAAGTCTTTGTTTAATTATAAATAAAATATTTCTTAAAAATGTTTAAAATATGAAAAAAATTATTTAATATCGATTCTTTCACTAAATAAACAAAGTTTTAAATAAAAATGATTAAAACCAGATTCAGAAGATTAAATTGCATTATACGCATAAGACTTCAATAGAAACAATTAAATCATTGTCTAAGAATCATGAATCCATTCACTAATTAATTTTATTTTATACAAAAATATGGTTTTGAATGAATTTAGGAAGTTTAATTTCTTATTATAATAATTTTATTTCTATTTATTATTTTGTCATAATTGTTCTCTATAATCGACTATTCTGCTATTAAAGGAATCAGAATTTAATTCAACGCCACTCAACATTTTTAGAAATCATACCTCTATTAATAAAGATTGATAGGAAATTTAAAAAGAGGTCAAATAGTTATTTTATAATATTTTTCATCATTTTGTTTATTTTATATGCTATAAAATTTAGAAATTTGTGAAAGTTGCAAAAAAGCAATTTACATAAATTCTTTAAAATAGAATGTATTAGTAATTCTGCTAAACATTGTTTATTTTTATAAACATTACTTACTCAGAAAAGTAAACAATAGGTATTGTTGGAATTGATTCAAGTATACATTGTTTAGAGAGTTGTTTCATATTTTGAATTATTATAAGTAAATTATGAAAACTTTAAAATTAAAGAACAATCAATTTATAGGGTTATTAAAACAATATCATCATTTTGTTTTATTCAATTGAATTATATCATTTATTATTTTAAATTTCCTAAAATAAAAAATGACAGTAGTTTAATCATTTTTACTGGAGATTTCTGTAAATATTCATTTTGAATAATTTATCAAGTGATTTTATCATATAATAAAATAAAAAGATCGAATTGATCAACTGAAGTAAAATGAAATTAAGAATACGGTTAATTTGTATTTATAAATAAATCAAACTGACAAGTCATTATTTGCTTAATACTAGTTAAGTTATGATTTATTTAAAATGTAGTAATACAAAAATCAATCGAATCTTTTTTTTAAATTAAATGTAAATTTTCTAATGCTTCATTATATCTAAATAAAAAGAAATACTTTTAATATCTTCAATTTTATTTAAGTTTGTTTTTTTCAAACTACCAAATAAAGAAATGAATATAAATTGTAATATTAATATTTTCCCTATATAATATACGAGATTGACCTTCCAACTGATTTATAGAGTTTATTCAATTCAATTAATTCCAAATTAAGTGAGTTTGATTATTTCAGAGATTATTGAATTATACATTAATTGATGTTCAAATATTTACAATTTTAAAAAAATTTACATACTTTTTTACATTATTTTTAAAAAAGACCCATAAAAATACAAAATTATAAATTATTAAAAACAAATTCCATAATTTAAACGGAAAATGTTTTTATCATTTAAATTTAAACTGTTTATCTTGCAACTTTATCAATACATATTCACTCTATATTCATTATCTTAGTCTCAGGCAGGGGAACCTAAGTATCTAAAGGTCTTTTTTCTTAAACTATAAATTGGAATTTAAATGCATTTTCGACATTTAGTTTAATTGAGAATTCTATCCATTTGTTATTTTATAATTAGTGAGGCGAATTAACCCAATCTAACTAAAAATTAAAAATTAATTATCTGATTTACTCTAGATATATATAAATTATTATAATTATTTAAATCAATGATTTAACAAAATTGCCAAAAAAAAAAATTAAACTTATTTGATGATAAATTGAAATTGACTATCCAATTCTTGAAAATCAATATTTGAATTTAAAAAATCGAAGCTAAAATTAAATTAAGAAAAGAAGGTTTAAAAAAATCAAATTTTTAAATTTTCAATCCTTAAAATTATTGCCTGAATCAATAAAATTATATTGATCAAAATAGCAATTTAAAAAAAAAATAATTTCTATAATTATAATTTTATAAATGTTAATTTTTATATAAATTTAATAAGAGAAAAAATTAAGAATTAAAATTCTTTATATATAAAAAATTTTAATTTCTCTAATTTATTTTAATGATTAATTTATAAAACGATTGCTTTATTATTTAATCTAAGTTTCTAATAAAAAACAAAATTTATTATTGGCTTATTATTGAGGTAAGTTATTAATAGGGAAGTTTATTAATATGATATGGATGTTTATTTCAATGTTTCTAAAAAGTTATAGATATTAACAAATCTAACAAATTTTTATTTCAATTCACTATTTACAGAACTAAAATTTATATATATACTCTTTAATAATTTAATTTAAAAAAATATAGTTAAAAACAGATAATTATTGCTAATCTATCTATGATGAGCTAATTTTAAGTTTTGTATAAATTAGAAAATATGATATTGTCAAACTTGATAATAATAAAAATATTTTAGAGTACTTTTAATTATGAAAAAATACTCAACTGAAAAACTTAAGATCATTTATCTTTAACATAGATCTTTTGTTAACAATCAAAACAAATTTTATATTTTTATCATTACCACTAAGTTAAATAAAGAAAAATTAAATTAATTTTCTAAGATTTATTTTTAGTTATTATTATATTTTATAAAATTTATATTAATTATCAAAACTTACCTTTTTTCTCATTATTAAACAAAAAGTGTTCAAAAATAAATAATAACCTCGATAAAAATAATAATCTCCAATTTAATTATTTTTATTTATTATTATTGTAAAGCTTCTTTCAACTATGCAACTTAAAAAACAATATTTTTGTTTATTTAGATTCATATCTGAATTATCATAATTTATAGATTAGCCCAATCTCAGAATTTAATATTCTACTAAAGAGCTTAATTATTTTATATTTCAAGATACATTTTAAATATTTATTGAATTTATTTACATACCTTGATTATTAAAAATATGCATTTTCTATATTAAAAAAATGGCTTCCTAAAAATTTTGAGATTTAAAAACTAACATTTTATAAAAAGCAAAAATATAAAAATATAATAAGACTAAATATATGATGATTCAATAACAGTAATGAATTAAAATTTTAAAATAAAAGAACTTGAATGCGGTAGAGTTTCATATTAATAAGAATCAGAACAACATAAAAAAAGTAAAAATAAATAATGTGACATATTCTAATATTTTGAATAAGTTTACATAAGCTATTGAGTCTAATAAAGTTAATTGGAAACAAAAATTATTTATTAATCTAAGTTCTTTGAGTTATTTCCTATTATATAAATATTTCCTTCATTTTGGGTAATGTTAATATTAAGATGAAATTTATAAGAATTATAACTTACTTAAACTAGATGAACTTATTAATTCATTTAGAAATTTAAAAATTCTTTAATACATTTATATGAATAATTATTTTATTATTTTCTTAAGAAAAAGAATTAATTAATCTTATTGAAAAAGAAGAATTTAATTCCTTATTCAAAATACAAATTTACTAATATTAATAGATAGATGTAGACATTTTTAATTCCTTATTATAAATTTATTAATAAAATGATAGATAAAATGTATTTATAAAAGGATGTATAATCATTAAATATTTCCAACTTGTAAAGGTGTGATATAATTTTGATTCCATAATTATTTTTGTTATTCTTATTATATTGATAAACGCTTTTTCTTGAGACATAAATAGGCAACTAGAATTGACAATAATGCAAAAACAAAGATAATCACTGGAGCCAAAATATATAACAATTTATAATCATTTTCTTTTATATTGGCCAGATAAACTTTATTATAAGGAACTGTTTAAATAAAATCTGTATGTTAAATAAAGCCAAAAACATAAATTAAGACATCTCTGTCAAATTAATCTAAATAATCACTAACAAATTATTAATGAGAGTCATAATCAGATTAATTATGATAATATAGGGCATAATATTCTGTTAGATTCATTTTAGATAACAATTCTTCATCTCCAAATGAACATTAAATTAAATTACTATCAACCCAATTTGATGTTATTATAATTTTGTAAAGAATAGTCTGTCCATATTGATAAATTGGAGGAATATTCAAAAAGATTTTATTCTTTTTTAATTAAACAGTTGGTGTTTAACTTTCACTTAATAAATAAACATCAGAACTTGAGCTACTTTTAAGTATTTGATACTATGATAAATAAATAAACTTTATACTTTAAAATAAAAAAAAGTATAAAAATCGTTATAATTTTAAATTCTATAAAAATATTACTAACCAGCTTAAGCCTAAAAAATATCTTAGAACCAGAAATCAACTTTTGAAGTTACATTTCTGTATTAATTATTAGGATTGACTTATTTTATTTATAACGGTCCCATTGAAAATTCTGATTAGAATATTTCAACAAATACATAAGCAGTAGTTGATATAGTAATCATAAAATCTTCAGGGGTGAATAATTATTTATAATAAGCAATATTTTCTTATGGTTGGGTTTTTTAATGGTATATTTAATCATATAAAAAGTTTAGCTCCTTATATAAACCTTATGTATGATAATTGTAAATTCTTATTGTATATTCACAATCTTAAGTTTCTAAATCAGTTATCCAAATAGAAAAATAATGATCACCACATCCATTAGCAATTCTTTCTTCAGGTGTTACTATGATACTTTATTAATTCAAAGCAGTCCAAATTTTTGAAGGGATAAACTATACAATAATTTTATTTATTTACATCACAACCCAAATCAATTTAAAGGTATGGCTCTTTAACTTTAAATTCTAAAGTAACACTGCTAATTTCAAATGAATTTAGTTCAAATTTAAAGAGTTTTAATCCATTTATTTGATATATTTAGAGAAATAGTATCGAAAATAACATTAACTTAATTAATTTAATTTCTTAACATTATTATTAATAGCAATATGCTATTTACATTAGATTTTAATACAATATAGATTTAAATACATATAAGTTTAGATATTTAGTATAGTTTAATTATTTCCTGATATAATTCTGATTTTAGGTTTTTTAATTAAATGTAATTTTATGTATGTTTTTAATTAAACCTAATATGAATACCTGAAATATATCATCATCAAATTTGATGAATATAAGATAAAAAGTATATTTTATTATTTAAATATATGAAAATAGCATAATAATAACTTTATTTTCAAGTATATATATTTAATTTTATAAAGATAAAATAAATTTTAAACGTTGTTTAAATTTAAAGAAAAAAATAAGAATAACCTCTATATCTGTCAATTTTAACTTTTATTAAAGAATTTTATTTAATAAACTAATCAGAAATTCATTTTAATCTAATTAAAATTTTTTATTAATATTTATTAAAGAATTAATATAATTAAAAAAATGAAAACAAAGATTGAGACTATTGGTGAAAAATAAAAAAAACTTTAAGAAGAAGAATAAAGACTTCTTACTTTGGGTTAAAACTTTTACAAACAATATGATTTGGAATCAATAAATTTTATATCATAATTTATACCTTAATTTTTAGACTATTATGTTAATTCATAAAAGAGAGATAAGTATGTTAATTTATTACCATTAATTTCTATAACAAATAGTCCAATTAGAAATATATTGACTAAATTTGATTTGAACCTATTATTTCCAGAAAGAATTTGGGAATTTGAAATGACATGTAATAATAAATAATATAACTTATAGCATAATTTTTAGAATAGATGTCTAAAAATGATTCACGTTCTTTAGATTTACCTTCACTATTATTTTTAATTAAATTAATATTGTAGGGAGATTTTATAATTTATCAAATTGAAACATCATATTAATCATAATACCATTTGTATAAATTTTCAAAATTGGAGGGTAATAAACTACCTTATTCATAATTTTATTAAATATATAATCAAAAAATTCATAAAGAAAATGTAATTGTGTAAATAATTCCAAAATAAAAATTTACTCTAAATTCTCAAAATTAGCTTGAAACTTTAAAATATGTTGATACTATTGTATTTATTTCTTAAGGAGGTTATAATTATAATGATTGTATTAAGAAACATAATATCCAATAAGATGAAGATCCTTTCCTTTAAGATGATTTTAGTGTAATATAAGAAATATAAAAACCTAAAAAATATGGTTAAATTAAAATTGGAGATACTCCTGCAGCTTAAGTTTATAATTATACTATTCCAAGAATATATAAAGTAAATAAATTTTAACCATAAGATTATGTATTTAACTAAAAATTTTAAAGATGGATTAAAACAGTAAATTTTGTTAATCTTTAAAAAAGATAGTAATAATAGAATGAAATTAAAGCATCATTCTATTTATTAAAAAAATACTTATTTACTCCAAATTTTTAATAATATCAAAATTTATTAAAAAATATTAAGAGTGAAAAATTTATAATAAATATGGAATAGTTTTAAGCAATTTCTGAAGAATGTGATACAATATTAATAGGTAGAAGTGGAACTGGTAAAACTACTATTTCATTGTTAAAATTATTTATCACTGATGCAATATTTATGTTAAGATAAAATTTAGATTTATATAAAGAATCTAATTATAAAATAAATATGTAATATAATGAATAATTATAAAATGGAATATAATTAAAAACATTATTTTTAACATCTAGTCCATTATTAGCTTAATAAATAAAATAAAAATATGATAAATTAGTAAAAAATGTTGAAGATAGTTTAAATCAAAAAAAACAGTATTAAAATTTTTAAGAAAAACTAAAAAATAATTTAGAAGATAGCACAGTCTAAATTTTAGATATTTTAGGAGAAGAAGATGATAAGGAAAGTTAATTTGAAGTTTAAGAAGAAGAAGAAAATGATGAAGACATAGATTAATATGAAAAAGAAATGGGATAATTTTAAAAAATGTAAGATATTAAATCTTTTCCTGCATTTCTAACAATAAGAAAATTATTATTTTTAATAGATTCCTCATTAACAAACCCATTTTTTAAAAATAAAGATTAAATTCATAGATCAGCATAATGGCATAATGAATATTTTGGAGTATTAAGTTTAAATTAAAATGTTAATAATAATTGTTCAGATAAATTAGATGTTGAAGTGAATGATTTAGACTCAAAAGATATAATATATCATAACAATAGATTAAAAGAAGTAACTTTAGAATGTTTTAAAGACTTTTTTTGGCCAAAAATTCTATCAGAATTTAATTGGATTGAAAGATAAAGTTATAATTCTATAAGTCCTACAATTGTATGGTCAGATATAATAAATACTATTAAAGGACATGAGACAGCATATTAACATAGAAATTATCATATTAGCTAAGAAAAATATAATTATTGTCGTTAAAACTAATATTATTCTTAACCAGATAAAATTTTTAAATTATTTTTAATTTATGAATAATTAAAAGTTAAATATGGATATTATGATATACTTGATGTTATTAATCATATCAATTATTAATAAGTATATTGTTATGATTAAATTGAATATATGCATTATCTTATACTTGATGAACTTTAAGATGTTCCTAAAGCTTTATTAATACTATTAAATAGAATGACTTAAGTTTAATTATTTTTAGCTGGAGATAATGCATAAAATATTGTTAAAGGAATTGGAATTAAATTTTCAGATATTTTTGATTGTCTTGAAAATGAAAAAAAATAATAAAAATCTATTAAATTGACTAAAACATCTTTAACTAGATTAAAATATAACTTTAGATCTACCAATTAAATATTATAATTAGGTAATGTAATAGTCAATGCACTTGAATTATTTTTCCCAAAATATCTTGATATTCTATAAAAAGAAAAATCAATTTATTAAGGTCCAAAACCAACTATTATTTAAAGTATTAAAAATTAAGATTTATTGAATTATTTATTTAAATAGTATAAAAATAAATAAAGTAATGTAGATTTTGGTTATAATTCAGTAATAATAGTTAGAGATTAAGATTCTAAATTAAAAATACCAATAGAATTATAAAATGCCATAATTTTAACTATTTATGAAGCAAAAGGTTTAGAATTTGATGATGTTATTCTTTTTAATTATTTTTCTGATGCCAAAGATGATGATGAAAATGCATGGAATATACTTTAATCATTAGAAATAGTCAAAATTAAAATGGATAAACATGATTGGAGTACAAAAAGTAAAAATTATATATTTATATTTAGCAAATAAAAACTAATTTTTAACACACACTAATTTAAGTAAACATGAAGTAGAATTAACAAAAATGCAATTTAGAAATATTAATTAAAAATAGAAATAGAATATTTAAATTCAGGATTCAAATAAAATTAATTTATCATTATAATAAGAATTAAAATAACTTTATGTGGCTATAACTAGGCCAAAAAAGAAATTAATAATATTTGATTAATCTTTATAGAATAGATATTATATATAAAATATTTGGGAAGAAATGGGATTTGTTGAAGTAATACAAGAAACTTAATTATAATAAATCTAAGAATATTAATTTATATTATCATTTTCAATAGATAACAAATCAAATTGGAAAAGATAGGGATATAGAATGCTTAAATAAAATAATTATGAATAAGCTTATAAATGTTTTATGCTAGCATCAGAAATTGAATTAGCAAAGAAATCTATGGCTTATAATTTAGCAACATAGGCTACTGTTAATTATTCTAATAATTTTTATTTATTTATAAAAGCAGCAGAATTATTTGAGGAAATAAATTTACATAAAAGAGCAGCTTCTTGTTACTTTTCTGGAAAGAATTATTAGAAGGCATTTGAATTATATTAATAACTAAATTGTAAAAATGAAATGGCTGAATCAGCTTATTTTTCTGGATAATATTAATTAGCTGGTCAAATATTTTCAGAATTAGGTGAAGTTAGAAGATCTATTGAATGTTTTAATAAATAGAATCTTTGGGATGATTCTATAAAATAACTTACTTTAAATAAAGATTAATTTACTACAGAAGAAAAGATGATGTTCTTAAATATTATAATTCCATAATATTTGAAAAATATTATTGAAGATATTGAAAAAAAAGAATTATTAGAATAATAAAAATAATCTATCATTAATCCAAATGATGAAACTGAAAGTTTTTAAGTTGAAAATTCTATTTTAAATTAAACTTAATCTTAAAATAATAATGTTGAAAATGATTAGTAAATTATCAATTTAGAAAATAATGAAGATTAATAATCTTTTTAAGTTTTTAAAGAAGATTCATTTGATCATTTATCTATTTATGATCCAGATGATGAATGGATTAAACCAGAAAATAAATCTTTAATTAAATCTATTGCATCCTCTAGTATTCAATCCAAATTTACTAATGTTTTATTAATGAATTAACCAACAAATATTCCACTTCTTAAATCAAGAATAAATATTTTTATTTAAAATAATATTATGTTAGAATTAGCTGAAAGATTTTAATTATTTTAAGATGAATTTAAATTACTTTTAGAAAATTAAAAAAGCTAATGTGTCTTATTATCATTTAGAAATTAAGATGAAAAAGAATTTGATCATATGATTAATTTTTTATATGATTTTGAAAAATTTGATTTAGAATTTGTGTACTTTACTTTAGATATTTTAGAACATTTTAAAAGTTTTAAACTATGTATTTATGTTTGTAATCAATTTAAATTATCATCACATTTAGGTAGATATTTAGTTTCTTTAGCTTCATAATATACACCTATTACAAAAAATAATTTTAAATTAGAAAATTGGATTATTGGTAATAATTTAAAAAGAAAACGTTTATTAGATTAAGCCATTGTAGCTTAATTAGCATTTATAAATATTTTAGAATCAATTAATCCAATATATTTATCATTTAAAAATGAAGAATAACTTCATTCGTCTAATAGTTTTGGAATAGATTGTTATAAATAATTAATTGGATTAGGTTATTGGAAAACTATTATTTATTAATTAAACTATTAAAATGCAATAAATTTATGTCAATCTTTCAATAATTATTAAGATTTGATAAACTTAATTTAAAAAATTAAAGAATAAAGAAAATTAACAGAAGAAGAACATTATTAATTAATTAAATATAATTATTTTATTTAATTAGAATAATATTTTCTATAAAATTAATCTTAGAATGTTAATTTTGATTAAGAATTCGAGATAACGATTTAATGTGTTTCCTAAAAAAAATTAACTAAATCTAATTTAACATAATTAATAAATAATTCAAAATTAAATCAAGTAAACCTAACAAATTAAGAGAAACTTAAATAATTAGAATCTATAATTTTAGGTATGTTTTGTTCTATGGGAATAATAAAATTTGAATTTGATTAATATTCTACTATTATTGATTTAATTTAACAATAATAATACGTTATAAATCAATTACCATTTGCTTAAAAAAGATCAAATATAATTGAAGCACTTTAATTTATATTTAAATTCTCTTTTCCTATTGGAGAGATAATGATAGATTTTTCTTAATATTGTATTATACATATAACATCGAAACTAATTAAAAATGTTAATGAATAAATGATATTTATGGATATTGCATATGAATATGTTTTGATACCTTTTGAAACATTAGGAAAATTAATAAAATAATATTTATATAATTAAAAACCAATCTAAATATTATATTAAACTATTCAAAATTAATAAGAAGAATAAGATATAACAACTATTTTTTAATGTTTAAAATAAAGATTATAATATTAATATGAGAATGTTCTTACATATTTAACTTAGACATCAAAAGATCAAGCAGATTATTATTCAAAAGTTGTATATGGAAATAGATAAAAAAATATTTAAAATATAGTTGAAGATCATGAAACTTCTATTTTACATTTTTCTAAATTTGATGAGATTAGAACTTTTCATAAATGGTTATTATAAACTAATAATAGATTTAATAAAATGAATAAATAATTTAAATATTATTTAAAAAATGAAAGTATAGTTTTATTTGAGTAAGGTATTAATAATTCAAAATAAAAACATGGTTATTTTATCTTAGCCTTAAATTTGTTACACTTCTAAAATGATATACCATTAGCTATTTTTACATTATAGAATATGAAAGATTAAGATGAATCAGATTATTATATAAAATATCTAGAATTTTTAGAATGTTAACATTACGGTATTATTGAAGATTCATTTGATTGCTTTATTGAATTTAGTTAATATTTTGAAAATAAAATATATTTAGATGAATGGATAAATCATTTAATTAGAATTGCCATCAAATTACTTTTAGCATAAGAAGGAATTAAACAAATCTTTATTCCATAAAAATATTTAAACTTTATTTCCTTTTAATTAAAAATTGAGCAACCATTGTTTACAATAACTAAAGATGATATTATTTAAGATTTTATTGATTAAGTCTTAAATTATATAGTTGCATGTAATTCAGAACATTATGAATATTTAAGTAATTTATTATTAATTGTCTTTTTGCTTAATTTATCGAATCTATCTGATAATATAAAAGATAAATTATGCCAAACTTTTTCTGATTCTCATACATTTCCATATTATAAATTATTGTACTAATCTTTAAATCAAAAAAATCCAAAATTACGATAAGATTTAATTCATAATATTGATATATTATTTATCAAAGGATTTTTTGAAGAAAAACTCATTTTAATATAGATTTGTTAAAATTAAAGTAATTTAAAATCTGAAATAATATACTAAAATTGTTTAAACAAATGGGAAAGTTACTTTTAAGAAGCTTAGTAAATTAAATAAAATGGAATAAATTTATTAAAAAAATGGAGATAATTTAAATAATAACATAAAAATATGAAATTATTCAAAATTAAATAAATTCCTTAAGTTATACGATATTAGCAATTTTATAAATTATTATTAAAAGATTTTAAATTTTTAGAAAATCAAGAAAATTTCATATCAAAAATATATAATTTATAAGAGTATTTTTATTATTATTTATTTTTAGAGAATTATTGAAAACGAGATAAAAAATGAAAAGAGGTGCAGATTTTTAGTTTGTAAATTAAATTTTAAATAACTCTACAAATATATTAAAAGAAATAAATAATGGAAATCTTTAATTTGACCTTTTTGAAGAATTATAATAGAAATATTAAAATTGGAAAGATAAGATTAATTTATTTGAGAAAAATGAATAAGAACTTCTAGAAAGAAATAGATAAATTCTCAAATTAAAATGGTAAAAATTATAAGCAGGAGTTAAAGTACAAAATAAGTTTGATTCATAAAAAATTAAAACTGTAGAGGAACATTTAGATGAAGATTCTCAAGATTGATATAACATACCACATTTAAGATAAATATTTTATAACTTTATAATCAGAATTGTAATTTTTCTAATTAGTTTTTTTTAATTGATTTTTTATAATAGTTAATGATTATTTTATATAATTCTTTTAATTTAAGTCTGTAATTGTAATTTTAAATCTTAGTATTAATGGAAAGGGTTCTTTTAAAACATATTCTTCATAATCTTATTTTCTAAGTTAATTTATAATAGTCCAAAATTTTTATAATAAAATACTCAGACTTTTTCATTATAAGAAGCTAACTTTATTGAGTAATAATAAATATAATAATCAGAATCATAAAAATGTTAGACTAGTTAAAAACAATCAAAATAATTTGTTAATCTGTTTTTAATGATTCTTTCTTATTAAAAATTTAACTTATAATAAATTTAAAGGACCACACCGTTCATCTTTTTATGTCGATATCCTCCAAATTTCTAAATTATAATTTCTACTTTCTAATTTAGATTTCTTAGTATGAGATATTCAATGCAATAATATTTTATTCTATTCAGCAATGATATTATTTATAAAAATCAATTATTTAAAATTTAAGATTAAATAAATATTTAAACAAAAACGATGACTATCATAAAAAATATTATATTTGTTAATATCATTAATTCATAGTCATATTTTAAAAAAATATAATTTATTTTGTGTGTTGTATTTATTATAAATAAATTTTGTAAAGGTTTTAAGAGAATTGTATTTTTCTATATGAAAATGATTGATGTTGATTAACTATTATATAAACAAATTTAAAGAAGTAATATAACTCTTATTTTTAACGCAATTTTTGTTCTAATCTGAATTTATATTTGTAAGTTGGATTTAAAATAAATCTGAATATATTTATTTTCATTTCTAAATTTGTAAAATGGATCTTCTTTGAAGTATTTGTTAGCATCTCCTATTTTAAAAAAGATACAATTAATAATTTAATTTAGTATTACAATTTTCTTTAATCTTTTTCTTTTATTATGTTATTATATATATATTTCAAATAAAAATAATAATAATTTTTTAAAATATCCTAAATTAAATAAATTATTTAATATTTCAATCCACACTTAATTTCCATTATTTAATTTAGGCTTAGCAATTCCTAAGATGATCCTAATTTATTATATGTTGCATGGTACTAAAATTTAAATTAAGCTCTTCTAATTAAATCATTATACAAAGTATGTATCCTTAAAGTTAATATCTACAAATATCATCCCATATAAATTTTGGAATTAAAATTTAATTTTAGGAATTGATTAACGAGTTAACATAATAAGTTTGGTTTTTCATTTTTATATTGTTATTTGCAAAAAATCTAGAAGTAAAATTTTTAGCATCCTAACTTTAATTCAACAATTTGAGCAATTATTTAAATTATTGATATATATCTATTCTCTCTTAAATTTAAATAAAATCAAAATATTTCGCATAATTATCAATAAAAAAAGAAAATTCGACATATTCATTTAAATTCTCTGTTTTTATTAGTTATTAAATCATATTTCTTCTATATTTTTCAGCTTAATTTAAAAAATTTTGCGATTCTTTTACATTATTTTTATTCAAATACTATAAAGATTAGTTCCATATATCCCCCTATAATTATGAATTATATAAAACAAATTTATTAAATTCTGAAGATTGTTCTAAAATAAAATTCTTTATTCCAATTAAAGCGGAATTCAAATCTAATTATTTATTTTTTTAATCATTTAAATGAGGTGGAAATTAATTTAAAAACTCTTACACGATGTTTTGTTCTTTAATAAAAAGTTATAATTTATTGTTAAAAGTAAATTCACAATATAAAATGGGATTGGCATTATATTATCTAAGTTTTGCTAAGTAGAATTCAATTGTTTTAATAATTCTTTACGCCTTTTGATCCAATTATTCTTTGTACTTAAATCCAATCTAATTATTCTTTATTATATTTTCAATAGATTATTAGTACTAATTAAAGTCTATATCTGAGGGTGTCATATTCTACAACCCCTTATAATTAGTTTAATTTAACCCTGTGTTCATATTCATAAAAATTATAATAGAAATTTGTTTATATTTATGTTAAGAATATATATGATAATATTATAATCAATTTATATTATGATAATATTGAATATCCACAAAAATAGTACTTTAAGTTAATAATATAAAACGTACACCATAATGATATTAATGGTAGGATGATTATAAAATTACTAATACTTAATAAGAATAGAAAAGAATATGAAAGTAATTGAGAATATGAATTATGAAATGATAGTTTAATTAAATATAAATTAACTTCCTTAAAATTTAATTCAAAATTAAAACGAAAGCTTATGTGTAATGATGACTTTAATCTTAAGGAAAAGTTATATATAATTAATTTAACAAGAATTTTCATCATTAAAAGATGAATTTAATTAAGAAAATGTTAAAGATAAAATTAGTTTGAAAAAAATATTTAGTATTTTTGGATGTGTAAAAAATTTACTTAAAATTTGTCAAGCAATGTTAGAGCAATTAAAATAAATGTAAAAAATTGAAGAATCATCCTATAAGTATGCTTATTAAGCTTTTAATTTTTTAAAAATTTAGAAGCTTAATTTTAATTTAATAATAATCAGGATCAAAAATCCTAAGAGAGATCCTATGTAGGTATAGTTTATCTACAGTTTTTTTATAAAAGATTCATTTATTATATAATAATACTACAATGTAGTAAATATTATAATTTTTCTATTAATTAAGTCTTTTTTATTATTCTACAAGAAAATTTGATTATATAAGCATAATTAACAGATTAGTAGAATGAAATATAATATTATTAATAACTTAATTGTTCACATTTAATATTTTTCAAAAAATTGGATCATTAATTAAATAACTTAATTATTTACAGTATGTTTCATATTTGGAATAATGATATGTTAATAATTTTCTCGATTAGGAATATTTAATCTTTCAAGACTTCTTGATAAAAAATCACAAGGAACTACTTTGTCAGCACTTCCATGAATAATTAGAAGAGGAGTTTTATCTTAAATTTATTATAATTTAGTTGTAGGAAATAAATCTCCTGATAAACCAACTATTCCTCCTAAAGTTTAAGAAAAACTTAAACCAACTTCTAATGCCATACAACAACCTTAAGAAAATCCTCCTATATATACATTTTTAGCTGAAACTATTTCAATTTCATCATTTAGATATTTCATTATTAATTATTTTGATTCCTCAATTTCATCTATAGAAACAGTCTTAATAATAATAATAATAATAAATTATTTACAGTTTTAAAATAATCCAATTCTTAATTTTTTTCTATATCAGGTTGAATTACTTTAATATCAAACCAACTTGAACAATATACTCCCTTATTAATAGTGACAGGTCGATTAGGAGCTTATAATAAAAGTATTTTAGTTTATTTTTTAACAATTGGACATTGTTAAAATGTATTCAAAAATCCATATGCAGTATCACATAATCCATGCATCCAAATTAATGAATATTTATGATCACATTTTGGAAAAAGAATTATACTTCCATCAGGTTGTTTTTATGGATTCATAAATATATTAAAAATTATTAAATATAATTTAATTAAATTAATAAGAAATAATCAAAAATACATAATTTTAAACAATATATATATCCTTTTCTTATTTCTTTATAACGCTTCCTTTAATTGTTTTCTCACTATTTTCATCTCGTCTCACCATTTATTTCAAAATTCACTTAAAAAATGATTCTACTCATAAAAATATATTGTTATTGTTTTAAATATTAAAAAAATACTGATTTTTATAATGTCTCAAAAGAACTTATACAAATTTAGGTTTTCCTATTCTTTTTAATTTAAATATAATCAAAAAATATTTAACATTATAATAAATTAGATTTAAATTTCTTTAACTATTATAATTTCTAAAGATTATTTAAAGATATATTACTTTCATTTTATGAGAATCAATATTTATCATTAACTAAATAATTTTTTATAAATATCATAAATAAAATCTAAACTCATTAAAATAACATTAAATATTATTATAAATTTGAATCCTTAAAATTTTCAAAAATAATTGCTATTTGATTCTAATAATAGATTGCACAATCATTAAATAAAATATTAATCCTAAATGGAATAATTCTTAAATTTTTTAACTGTATATTCTAATATTTCAAAGCAGAAGATTTATTCCAAATTAAGTTAATATTTAAGTTACAGTACTATGATACTTTTTAGATAATTATATTGTCAAAATAGTTCAAAATATTAGACTATTAAGAAATTAAAAAATTAAACACTTCTAGTTAAAGATTTTCAGTAAGTAACTTTACATATTTTTTAAAGGAGAAGGTTTCTTTAGTGTTCCATTAAGAGATATATTATCATCACTTGGGATAAAATTAAACATAATAAACAATTACTTATATCTAATCTCTGTGATAATAATAATTTTAGTTGCGTCGCCTTTAATTAGAAAATAACCTTACCTCTTTAAAGTTAATAATTAATGTTATAATTATCTTAATAATCTTTTTGAATAAGAGATATTGAATTATATCTTTTTGAAATTGTAATAATCATATTTAGGTTGTGCAATGTGTGGAAATGGATATATTAAAGGAAAATATGATGATTTTAATATATCTTCTTTTATTGGTTATTTTAATTTTTAATATTAATGCGTTAAAAAATGTATTAATTGGATGGAAGGGATTTTTATAATTGTTAATTACTATAATTCAAAATGATTAAAAATAAATTAATATATATGTAAAATAAATCTTTCTTTATTTGTAGTTATAACAAAATTCATTAACTAATTTCTTAAATTGCTCTAAAATTTAAATGAATTTAGAAAGCATAACATTTTTAATGGAAAACAATTTGCTAAAGATACATTAATTCAGTATTTTAGATCATAAACAAATGAACAATAATATAATTCTTTACAATAGATAATAAGATGTTAATTAATTTAAGCAAATATAAAAATTATTGGTAAAATACAATTTAATTAACAATAATCTAAATAGTTTTTTTTTTGAAATATTTTTAAATCAATAGTATATTATAAGTTTATAATTTATTAATAAAAAAATTGCTTTTAAAAAATATATTTTAAACAGAATATGAGAGAGAAAAAGTTTGAGATTTCTTGAATAAACTAATTTGTATTTGAATAGGCAAAATTTAATAAATAATTAATAATGAAAAATAGCAGAATGAAAATTAAATAAATTTTAAAATTTTTGATTGATATTTTGATAATCATTAAATTTATTTTAATTTAGAATTTAACAGTTTATAAAAACTATTTTACTTTATTAATGCAGGAGGAAATAAAGTTGCTATTAATTTTAATTAATTACATCTTTTATATTGTTTATGAATCCAAAATCCAGCTATGAATGATGTTAAGAAAAAGAAGCTAAAAAAATAAATAAATAAAGATTACACAATAGAAGATGTGATTAAATAGATTAGAATCTAATTAGATAGTTTTTCACTTAAGGTCTAAGTTTCACTAAAGATATCAAGAAAGGATAAGTAAATACTTGTTTCAATTTCAATAAAGTATTATTAAAATAAGTGATTGTGAATTGGTAGAGTAAGAAAGTAATCAGAATGGCTTTAGTTATATTAATATCTTAAATTGACAAATTCATAATTATAATCTTGTTTAGCTAATTTGTTTAAATCTTACACAATTCCATAAATTCCTTTATCAATTAAAGTTAAATAGTTTTCATTTTCATAATATTGATTTTTGATATTGTCTATATTACAGAAATTTAATAAAGATTAATAATGAAGACATAGATCATCATTAAAGACATCAATTAATTTTTGTTAAAATGAAGAATTATAAGATGATACTGTTATAAGTTAATCATTTATATTATTAGACAAATTTGTGATATCATCAATATTGTTAAAAAAGAATAAAATGTGTTCAGTTTAATTTATTAATTCAATATTAGTATTATTTTTCATAAGATGTTCTGTTTTTATTACTTCTCCAATTATTATTGTTGAATCTAGTCTAGATTTTAAATTAAGATATTTCATTGCTAAAATTAAACTGTTTTCGTATTGATTATTATTCAATTCAGCTATAAATTAAGAGCCAAAAATAAAAAATATCAATTCTACTCCAATTATTAATGAAAGAATTAGTAATAAATGATATTTCTCATCATAATTATCTATTTTACTTAATGGATTCAATTTAGATTAAATTAAAGGAACTTTTTCGTTTTATTATGAAGTAAGAGGATTTGTTTTTTAAATATTTTAAATTAGTAAAAATTTTTAAAGTATTTCTTTTTATGCAGCCAATGTTTCAATTTAATCATAAATTATTTTTAAATTCAAATATTATAACAAACGAATAAGTCGAGCCTATTTTTTCAATAGAGAACAATTAATAATTATAAACATTACTAGAAAGAGTAATATTATTATTGATGAATAAAGACAAACCAAAAATGTTTTATTTTGAAATTAATAAAAAGACTATTAAGTTAATTCTATGATTTCATCTAAAACATAATTATGGAACTTATAAATTTAAAGCATATTTTAACGTACCAATCCATTTGTTTATAATATTCCAGGATCAAAAGTATTACTATAATTAAAATTTGTATTTTTAAACTATCTTACCATTGATTCTCTTATTATTGCATAAAACGAATAGTAATCAATTTCAAATTAATTTTTTATGTTATTTTCAAAATAAATTAAATTTAAATTATTGTATCCTAATTCTTCACATTTAATACTAATATTTTTAGTATATTCTTCATGATTTTGATTCCAAAATTTAAATAATTCAATTATTTTATCTTCTCTTCTCTATTCTAAATATGGACTTGTTTAATACAATTTATTTTGTATACAATATTGATTCCACATTAAAATAAAAGCAGCTCCTATATGATAAGTAAGAGCTTATGGTATAGCTAAAAAATTAACTAAGTTTTAGTAATAGATTTTCTATTATTAATTTAATGTATAACTTATAATTAATGCAAGTGTTGTTGTAATAATCATAAAAAAGAGAATTATTATATTGTATTTTAATGGATTATTCAATGTTTTCTTTTTTATTTATCTTTCTATTAATTCATACTCTAATTATAAACCTTCATATTCTAATTCATCAATATTTAATTATTTATAAAATAATGTTTACTCAAAAATCTTTTAACTTTTATCTTATTGATAATCTTCTATTTGTTTAAATCTTAATAAAAAATAACTAACATCTACTTCTTTACATTGAAATCTTATAAATTCTAAAGTACCCTCAAATTCTATACTTTTCATTCTAGATGAAGGTACAACAAGATTTTGTATTTATTATGTTAGTTATTTTTACATTATTTTTATTAATACATTTTAAATACTAATATTTTCATCAACAATCTAACTTTATTATTTCTTCCAACTTTATGGATAAAATTGCTTTTTTTTAATTGATTTATGAGTATGCTCTTCTGATTGATTAATTAGATTTAAAGTAGAATTTAAACATTTTTTATGGTTTATAGGAAAATCCCATCTTGATTATATATTAAGAATTTATTAGGAAGAAACTGAAGAAATTTATTCTGCTAAATCTTAAATATGTTTATATATTTCTGGCAAATAATATTGAATCATTCCATATTTTATAAATTCTTAAATTTACAAGACTTTTGTAAAAGGATTTTCTGATTTCTAAATTAAATAAATATAAATATCTTCACTTATACCTAAAATTTTGCCTTCAATATCAAAAAGCAAAAAATGATTTGGTTAATTTTTTAATATTAAAAAGTTTTAAAGTTCAATATCATCTTTGCTTAATTCTGAATTAATAAATAAATCACATTCCATTAAATAGTTATTTTTCAAAAAATACAAAGAATAAGGTTATTTTAAACCAATACCACCTTAAAGATATTCATTAACAAAATTCTTATAAACAATTTTCTAAAATTGAGGTAATATATCAGTTATATATTTGGGTTCCTATTCTTATTCTAAAATTTTTATTAATCTTTTATTTTTAGGATTTATAATTTTATTAGTATCCCTAATTGCACTAGTTGATATAAGAAATGCCTCATCTAATAAAAATATAAAGTAATACTTCTTTATAATTTTACATTCATAATCTTTTCTTATGCTGATAATTCATTTTATTTTTTCTCAAGTTCTTTTGACTAAAAATTATCAATTATATTACTTTGAAATAATTGCCATAAAATATATATGAAAATAAAGTGATTATATTTGTTGAAATAAAATCAAAGCTTTTAAAATTTTTCATTTTTCCTAAATCAAGATCATATTCCTTTTCAAATAAATCCTTAAACTTTTAAAGTGCTTATATTATTTTATTAAATCGATTTCTAAATATTTAGAGATATTAATAAATAGCTTATTCTTTAATTAAACTATTATAAAATTAACTTTTCAAATCAATTAAATTAATTAGAATCTAATAATATTATTATTCTAGATCAAGTGTTTTAACAAATAATCTAACACATAAAGAAGAGTTTGTGATTTTTTTAGAAGATTATAGAGTATTCATAAGATTTGCTTCAAGTTTTGCTTATTATAACCAATTAAGTTTTTCCTTATTTATATTTATCAGATATAAATATTATTGAATTTTACTAAATTGATATATTTGATTTATAATAAGAAATCTATCCTCAAATTATCCTTCTTTTATTAAATAATCCTCATATTTAGAAAAGTTATTTCCAGATATTTTTTCTATAAAAAGTGAATAATCTTTAAAATTGGATTTAAATTCTCGATTTTAGAATCTCCAGTATTGAAAAAAATTAATATTTTAAAAATTATTTTTAAACGATTCTATTTGTAGTTTCTATAATCTGAGGCATTTTAAAAGACTTAATAATAAAATATGTATTAAAACCAAATCATTCCAAAATTAATTCGCAATTAAAACTAAAATATATGAAATAACAAAATTTGCTATTTACAAATTATACCAGCTGTTGAAATCATAATTATGAATTTATTTATAAATTAATGTTAATTTTGATAATAACATCAATATGGGAGGTATTAAATTAGATTAACTACTTTTTGTAATAAAACAAATTATTATTTGGATGAATAATTAAAAAATATTAATTGATTTTATTGAATAGCATCCTTCTATTTCTAAAAGAGCAATTTTTGGATTATTAAAGCAAAATTTCAACTCGAATAATAATGAAATCATTATTCCTAAAAGAGATAACCCTAAATTTTTTCTTAAAAGCAAAGAATTTATGAATATATTCAATGATGGTAAAAATAAGATATTATGAAACAAAACTAAACAATATTTGTAAAAAACCTAAATAAAGTTAAGTTACTCTTGATAATCAAAATAGACAATTATAAAAACTAAAAAGTAAATTATTTCACATGACAACAATAAATAATAGGTAAGCTCATCTTAATTTTACTAAATTGATTATAAGGAAAATTTCGATAAAACTTAGAAAATTTATTTCTAAAGTTGTTCTTTTATATTATCCTCTTGTTATATTGATGAGATAAAAAATATTTCTTAAATACCTTTGATTAATAGAAGAGTTTTAATAAAAACTAAATGAAATAGAGAAGGTTCAATTTTATTTCTTATCACAATTTAAGTAATCCTGACAAAAATATTAAAAAGAAATTTGCTAACAATCTGATCCTTTTTATCCTAAGCAGCTCTTCTCATTTCAATTTCTTTGAAATTAATTTTAAAAGAAAATTATTATAGGTTAAGAAATATAAATGTCGTTTTGGATTATTTTTGTAAAATAAGATAAAAACATTAATAGAGTCTGTAAGACAGCTATTATATAGAATCATTAAAATGAGAAAAGAAAATGAACAATAAGAAAGATTGTATCATTCCTATATAAATTAATTAAGTATATTTTTTATAAAAAAAACGGAGCATAAGTTTATCATCATTCATTTTGACTTGATATATCATATAGTTTTTAGTCAATCAGTTGTTGTTGATATCATTCTTCTTTAGAATATTAATATAATGTATATTTATGACTCAAATTTTGAGTAAGTAAATTTAAATTATCCAATGATTAACATTACTTTACTAACAATTTTCTTAATTATTATTCATGCATTAAAGGAGGTTTTAAATTATATTATTATAAATAAAGGCTATTATTAGATTGATTATTGAATTGAAATAATTAGAATATTAAATACACTTCAATTTATTAAAGCATATAAGAAAATTATTTCTTTGATTTTAATCAAATTTATTCATTGTATCATTTTTTCAAACTTCTCAAGCAATAACAAATTTTTTCTCCCATAAAATATGATTGATACTTATCTAGTCTAATTCTTTTTAAATATTATAAAGAATATATATCATTTTTATTAATAAAATAATTAATAATTAATTCATTTAATAAATGATCTAAGTGAAGTAATTTTATTAATCTTTTTATCATTTGATAATCAATTTCAGAATTCATTTAAATAGTAAGTTTAATTATATAAATAATGGGAAAGTATCTATTTTCAATTTAAAGTTCAAACTCCTTCGTCAACTTGAGTTTTAAAAAATGATCACAGTGTAAAAGTTGTGGAAGATCGAACTAATTTTTAAAAAATAAATACAATCTAAATGAAAAATTTATTATTAAAAGAATTTAAATAATAGATATATAGATCAAAATAATATGGCAATTATTAAATATATAACTTAATGTTAGATCAATAATTAAATTTTAAATAATACTAATTAGAAGTTTTTTATAGAAAGAATATTTATTGACTTTATTAATATTATTAATCTCTATTAAAATATATTAGCAATTAATTTCTTTAGATAGATAGAATCATACATATGTTCATAATCATGTTGTAAATCGATCGTCTTTATTACCTTTAATTGGTTCTTCAAAATCTCTGAAATTGATTTATAAGTGTTTTGTAATGATATGTTTATCTGTAGCTCTAACATTCTGTAATGTTTATTAATTTTATTAATATAAATAAATGGATTCATTTTTATTTTATAATCAAATTTACATAACTAAATTCTTATATAATTGTATAAATATTAAACTTAAAAAGCATGCTAATCTTCGAATATTATAATTCTATTTTATTATAATCATTAATGTAAAAATTTGAAGATAATATAATATTTTTGAATTAAATCGAATTTGTTAAATATGTAAAAATAACATATTAAATTGAGATTAAGTATTAATAGATTGAACAGATGAAAGATTAAAATTAATTTATTGAATCTTTTAAATAAGAAATAATAGGAATGAATTTAAAATATAAAATAAAGCTAAATTGATAATAATCATTAAATTTATATCTGTGTTTCAAAAGTTTGTTGATTATTGACTTTTCTAGCATCATCTACGTTGATTTCTCTATTAAAAGAAGACGTAGGTAAATTTCTGGATGAATTTTCTGATTAGAATGTATCATCTTTTAAATTTTCAGGATCTGATAAAGATCTAAGATTATGAATACTAAATTTACAGTTATTGTTATGTATTTGATCTAATATGGATGATAGTGTTATCTTTAGTTGCATTCAATTTATTTGAATAATATGAGGTTATCATTTTAAACTGTTGATGGTCATTTTCAGTTTCATTAAGTTTTCTTAATTCATTAATGTATTAAAATTTTGGGGTTAATTAACCATGTAGAGTAACAGTAGCATTCTACAAAAATTCCGGTAAGCCACTTTCTTCCAAAGGTTTATTTGGATCTGAATAGGCTAAATAAGGAACAATATCTCTAAGTGCTTTTCCAAAATCCATACTGGCTTCATATGGCATTTAGGATGGCAAGAAATCTATAGACATGTACATGATATCATTTTGTGATTAGAAATCAAATTCATCATGAATATCTTGAGATATAGGATTATAATAGAAAACAGGATGATCAGGGTTTGTAAACTTTTTCAAGAATTAAATTGATCCTTCTAAATCACAAGTAACATCACATACAGCTTATAATCTACTATTTCCAGATTCAACTAATTCCTTAAAAATGAATGATATTTTTTACTTTAATTTAAGTATTAGTAATATAGCGTGGAAACTTGTATTCCCAATAAATATCATTAACAAGAATAGTAAGATAAGGCAAGTATTTGAAATGGAAAATTGGTTCATAATCAAGTGGATTTTCGTAATAATCTTATGATGTAAATTCTTTATGAAGATCATGTTTATTTCTAACTAAATGAATAGTTTTAAATGGACAAACATAAACAGTATTTTTATGTTTTTTATCATCAGGATTGCTTACTAGTTCCTTTAAATCTTCTGGATTGACTATTGTAATTTAAAGTTGCGACAATGCTTCTAATGAGCCTTTTCCACATGAACCTGTTGAACCCAAAACTCCAATAATTAATGGCAACCCTAACTTATTTGGAAGACCTCTTTCTTTAATAGCTTAACCTGCCTTATATACTGCTTCATAAGCATCTTTTTTATTATAATATTGAAATGTTGGACCTATTTACAAGAATGGAGTATTCATATCTCTTTTTAGTAAATACTTGCCATATTCATTCAAGAATGTGATTATTCCTGCAATGCCAGCATAAGGAAATGAAGTTATGTTAACACCCTAATCTAGTATATTATTTGTTTACGTTATCGTCATAAATTCGTTCATACTCCAAATGCCTAATATTTTTCTTAAGCATAACATCCAATGCTGGCATATTATATGGTTCTCCTTCTAAAGTATGAGACCAATTTAAATATGTCATTCCTTCAATATATTTTTCAAGCGGGATTTCTTTTATACAAATTATTGCTCTGCAGATTGTTAAATCCTCTTACACCAAGCATCCTACCTCTAAGTATTGTTCATCTGTGAAAATTCTCTTTGTTGAAGGCTACACAACAATTTAAATTCGATCATGCTACCAATATTTTTAATTACTTACTTTTTCCATTATATACTTGCAATCATGAGGGGGAATTGGAGTTCTTCTCTCCATATACGATTTATCTTCTGCTCGTATACCAATATACAATTTGTCCATGGCTTTTATGCTGTAATAATATAATAAAGATATGAAACATTATTACATAAATACGTCAACCTAATAAATTACTCAATAAGATATACTATTTTTTATAATAATGAAAAATAATTAAAATTTTTTCAATCTTCATTCTATATTCAAATTAATGTTATTCTAACAATCATATATTTTAATTTATTTTCAAAATCATTTTTTCAACTTATCAATCTAAGCATCCTCTTATATCTATTATTCACCATTAAAAATTATTTATTATTATTTTTGTCTCATAAAAAATAATAATAAGAAAGCTATATTTTTCAATAATTTATATTCGAGCTATAATTCTAAAAATCAAAACTCTCTCTCTGTGTTAACGTTAACCTAGAAACAATTAATTTGATATCAAGGAAATATTTAATAATTCAAATATAAAAATAATATTTATAGATGTCATCTTTATTAATTTTATTGATTTAGTTATAGTTGCTTTAATAACACAATACACATATATATTCATTCTTTTATAACTTCTGAGATCATTTGAATCAAAAGCTTGTAAATACTCTAATAAAATTTTTATTAAAACTTTCAACTAGATTTTCCGCCATATATATAAATATTATTTTCTAATATATCTGAGAAAATAATTTTTGAGAAATGATTCATTAAAATCAAAATTTGAAAGTTAGTTTATCTATCTTCCTTTGGCTTAGAATCAATCTTATTAGATTCAGTATAAAAACTTATTATTTTGATCAATTTTGGTACTAACTTTCAACAGCTTTAAAATTACTTTTTTTTAGAGAAAAAAAAAGAAAAAAATTTTATTTTTCCATTTTCAAAAGGCTAAACATACTTCATATTCTTCGCTTATACTTTTACTCTAATCAGAGACTTTATGTTCTTGATCCATAACTTAACAATCAATATAGTTGCACATTTTCCTTACACGATTATAAATAAACTAATCAATTATCCTGAAAGAGAATAAAACCACATTCTAACTAAAATTCAACTTTTCTGATAAAATATCGAGAACTGATGAAATTTGATTCATGTCTTATGGTTCTATATGGTAAGCAATTCTGTTATTATATAGTTTCATAGTTTTGCATAAATATAGTGTGACTCTAAGACAGCTCTTTCTCTTAAAAATCATTGAATAATCTCATTAATTAGATTTGTTGAGATTAAATGTTTTTAAACTTAGAAAATGTTATAAAATCTGATGTTGTTTAGATTTTTATTAAAATAAATTTATTTAACAATTATTTTTATCAATTAAAAAAAAATAAATAAAATGAAAAGTGTTTATAAAATATTTATTAATTTATTAAATTTAATTTGAAGATTATAATTTTATTAGAGTTGCTATCTTTTTTTACTTTGGTTGAGTAAATACAATATTAAAATTATTAAATATGACTTTAATTACTTATTTGTTACAATAATTGTAATGAATTTTCTATATAGTCAAATCGTACAAATAAAAATTCTTGTTAACATTGACTATTTAACATTATTTCAAATTGATAAAAGAAAAAAATAGGTAAAAGATAAAATTTCATATGAAATAAATAAATTTAAAGGATCTTAATAATAAAAGATTCTCCAAAAATTCATTTGGTAAATAATAATTATAATATTCAAAGGATATAATATATACTAGAAAGGTAGATTAAAAAATGGAAAATATTTAAAAATTTGCCACATTTATGATTAATTGGTCAGTATTAATTAGATTAATGAGATTGGAATTATATTTTATCTAAATTAGTCTAATATTTGATTAAATTAATATAAAAGAAAATGATTCTCTTTGTTATAATTATTTTGGCGGTTTATGTTCTACATAGAGTAGTGTTTAAACCTTTAATACCATTGTTGATATTAAAACTATAATTTGGTAAAGAAGCTTATTTATGGTATTCGCCAATATGGGGATCATTGAAATACAATTTTAGATCATTAGAATAGAATGGAGATTTTTTTGGAGATTTTCGAAAAATAATGAGAGATAATCCAAAAGTAAAAATATTATTAACAAATTTTTTGGATCAGCCATTTATAAACTTTGTAGATAGTGAATATGTTAAGAAAATGTATTAGGATTATTAAGATTTCCCAAAATTTAATTTACTTAGATATGAGTATGATATGATTAATAATAAATAGTGATTTAATTGATAAAGGTTTGTTAATGAAAGAAGGGGAAGAATGGAAATATGAAAGAAATCTTTTAGGATCAGTGTTTACATTTGAGAAATTGAAATAAAGAATTCCTATGATAAATAAAATAGTGAGAGAGAGATGTCGATAGGATGCAAAAACAAACTCATTGAATTTTTTAACTTGGATAACAGGGGAAGTAGTAATAAATAGTTTTTTTGGTGAGATTGCATAAGGATTAATTTTAAATGGAAAACCTGGATAGGTAGAAATAGTTACATTAGTAGCAGATATTATGTTATTAAGATTTAAAAATATTTATACATAGTTAAAATTAATGATACTTGGAAATAAAGGATGGAGAATATTAGCAACAAAAAAGGAAAAAGAAATAAATAATAGAGTTGATATTGTTAGGAACACAATTAAAAAACTTATTGAGACAAGATTATAATAATTAAGAGTGGAAAATTAAAGAAATGAAAAAGATTAATATATTTTAGATATTTATTTATAAGAATTATTGAAATAAGAGAAAGAAGGTAGTAAAATAAAAATGGATATAGAAAATGTATTATAGTAATTTTTAACATTGTTTTTTGCTGGAACAGATACAACAGCAACAATGTGTTTTACATGTCTTGTTTATTTAGCTAAATATCCAGATGTTTAAAATGAATTATTAGAAGAGATTAAAAATGTTATAAAAGAAGAAGATTAAGATGTTTCAGATACTCATTTTATAAAATTAGTGAAAATGAATGCATTTATAAATGTAAATATATTATTAATTGTTTAGGAAGTATTCAGATTAAAAAACCCTGCTTTTTCTCCATTTATTAGAATAGTGTTAAAAGATATGAAATTATTGGATGTAAAACTTAAAAAAGGTATAATTTATGTGCTATTAAACTAAGGTTGGATGGTAGTATAAAGACATGATATTCCTCCAATAAGAGATTAGCATTTTAATAATCCTGAAGAGTTTGATTATAAAAGATGGTTGGATAAATAAGGAATGATTGAATAAGATAATGGTTTTGTACATATTCCATTTGGAGCAGGAGGTAGAAATTGTATTGGGTAACATATGGCTTTAATGGAATTAAAAATCCTCTTATGTCACATTATTAGATAATTTGAAATTAGTCTGAATCCTGAAATTAAACTTAAGTTTAGTATCAGGTTTCTTTATGGTGCAGAACCAGAAAATTGTTTAATTTATAAAGAAAGAAAATGAATTATTATCATTTTTTTATGATTTATCTATTATTATCTTTAGTGAATAAAATGATTCTATTTTATTGGTTTATTATTTAGATATGTTTAATAAATTTAAAAATATAATTAGTTTCTAATAACAAATGTTTATAATTTATGATAAAAAATAAAAAATATTAATATAATGCATAGTAATTATAATTAAGGTTTAATAATTGGATTATGTGGAAGATTAGGGTAAATATAGATTTAATTTAGATCTGGCAAAGAAGAAATAGCATAAATCATAAGTAAAAATTCAGGAACAGAATGTTAAGTAATTTCAATCACTGAAACTATGAATATTAGAGATTTTGTGAATGATGCTCTTAAATAAATGAATGAAAAATAATTTAGTTTAGATATTAGTTGTTATAATAGTGAATAATTAGAGGAGTTGGAAAAATTATTAAAATGTATCAGAGATAAACACTTTCATCATCAATCAACATAAAAAAAATTAGAAGATTGTTTAACTTATAATCCTAAACATTAAATATTATATCCAATAACAGATAAATTTGAATTAGAATTATTATATTAAAGAAACTATTTTCATTTAATAGCAATAGAAGCTCCAATAATTAAGAGATTTGAAAATTTTATGAAAAAATATTAATTAAATATTCCACTAGAATTATTTTGTATTATAGATGATGTTATTTCTGAAAATATATCAGAATTTATGCATAAAGCAAAAGTTTAATTAGGTAATGTTGGAGATTAAAAAGATTTATTAATTAGTTTTTATAAGAAATATTAAGACATTTTTAGACCTATTAGACCTAATTGGAATTAATATTTTATGCATATAGCTAATGTTGTTAAATAGAGATCCAATTGTATGAAAAGAGCTGTTGGTGTTGTTATTGTTAAAGCAAATAGAATTGTTGCTACTGGTTATAATGGTACTCCATATGGTAAATAGAATTGTTGGGAAAAAGGATGTGATAGATGCAATTAAAATACTAAATAAGGAGTTGATTTAGAAAAATGTTTTTGTTTTCATGCTGAAGAAAGTGCTATTTTAGAAATTGGTACTAAAAAATCAAAAAATATGGTTATGTATACTACTTTGTTTCCTTGTTTATAATGTACTAAGATTATTTTATCTACAAAAATTGAAAGAATATATTATGAAGAAGATTATGATAAAAGTGCTGCAAAGAGTGAATTACATAAATATGTTAAAGTTGAATAAATTGATTCTAGTCATTATGTATATTGATTATGATAAATTAAAAAATTAGTGATGCTAAAATAAACAAATTTCCTTATTCAGGTCACAAAACTTAATCGGATACTAATATAGTTTTCTGCCATTCTATCGATTAAAGTTCTAGAACTTAATCAAATAAAGATATTGACACAGATAAATTAAGTTATGAGAAGATGTTTTCTTCAAACGATGTTGATTTAGAATTTGAAGATTTTGATACAAAACCAACAAATTCCTATTAAGTTGTATCTCCTGGCTTATCAATTACATCATATGATTTAGATTAAACTTAAAAAAGTTCAGATATTTAACCATATGGAAGTGTCTCATATAATTAAAGAGAAATTCCATAAATAGTACTTGCCTTTAGAAAAAGAAGACCTGCATAAATTTAACATCCTTAATTAACTTAATTTAATTAAGAATCATGGAAAACATTGTCTAATTTTTCATCTCCAGATTCATCCCCTTTTCAAAATAAAAAAATATAGATAAAGTCATTTATGCTCTTACCTATGAATGATGATGATGAAGATGAAATATTTAGTGTTTTTAATGATTCATTAAATTATTATGGATCTATACCATAAACTAAAATTGAATGTATGAATCATTTATAATAATTCTTGACTTTATATAAAATGAGAACAGGAACATTTCCAAAATAAAGAGAACATTTAGAAAATGAAATGATAATATCTATAGCAATGAATTTAGCTAAAATAGATAGACCATTATTTAAATAATATTTTCCAACTAAAAAAGTATATTTTGAAGATGAAAATGACTATACAAGAACAAAAGTTATTAAGAGGAAAGAACAAAGAAAGTTTACATAAGCAATAACACCAAACTTTTAATACATTTAAAATTGAATTAGTTTTATTAATTTATTTGCTCATTTACTTTTCATTTTCTAAGTTGGTTTCTTAAAATTCATTAAATTTAAAATTTATTTTCTATAAGGATTTTAATCTAATAACTTTTTAGTTAATAAAGGTTTTCGATCTTACTTTTAAATTTGAAGATTCTCTTCAACAATTTAATTTTCTTTATTTTCCTTATCATTATTTGTTGATACTCCTGTTTTTTACTTTTTATCATCAACTTATTTTTATTTAATTTTTTCTATTTTCATTTCACCTACACAAATAGAACAATTAAAGTTAAGATCACCCATATTTTCAAGTACTTCTTAAGATAATCCACTACAATCATTATGAATCCATCTTTCACATCTATCACATTATAAATAACCCAAAGAATTATCAAATAATTTCTTACAAACACACTCAGTTGCCCACTCCTCTATAGGAGTTAAAAACATTTAAGATTCAGTATTGAATTCTGAACGAGTATAATATGATCCTGGTTTTGAATCTACATTATTATATATTATATCATTCAGATTATATACTAATATTTTTTATTTTAATTCTCTGCTAAAGAACCATTTTGTTTATTCTGTTAAAAACAAATCATCATCTGTACATTCTTATATTTTCTCATGTAATTATAAAACATCTTATTTTTACAAATAAATTCTTCCCTTTATAAATCCTGCTTCCTCTCCATTAATTACAATTTTAATTATCTCTTCAACACGTACAAACCAAATTTTATTATCATAAACAAATACAGCATCTTCATCAATTGATAATTTCTCTTATGGTTTATAAGTATAAATAAAAGCACATTAACAGACATTCGTTGGATGAAAATCACGAAATGAAGATATAAAATCATCAAACTATATTTATATTTATTATTATACATTTCTTTCTTCAATCATTTTCATGAAATTAGGATATGATTACTTATTGTTTTAATGCTTTTTGTTTTTTTTATCCTTTTTTTTCATAGGCACAAGTAGAATTTATCAAATTTAAATATAAAAGTAAACACACTTTTATTTCATAATTTATTCATATGTATATATATTATACAAATTTATTATTATTTAAATTTAATGAGTTTGAAATAAAAGAATTTTCGTTCCATGTTTATTAAAGAATTAAATTATTAATATTAGAGAAACAATTCAAGCTAATAGAATGTATTTATGAGGATAGCAAACTTTAAAAATAAAATTAAAATTCATTATAAATAATTTTAATTGACAGATATTTAATTTTTCAAACAATGGAAGAAGTAGAAAATATTATAATTAAAGAAGAGATATTAATTATCATTTCTTTAGTTTCCTTTTATTCCTAAATTTGATTAATAATATTAAAAGATTAGGAATATAAAAATCAAAAATGAATGAGAATATCGTTTAATGAGGAAGAAATATCAAAAAAATTTAAATTGCTTAATAGAAGAGTAAAAGACCCTATATAATGATAGGATAAATAGTTATACATGATAGTAATTAAAAATTATATATTATAAACATAAATACAAAAAAAATATCTTCATTTTTTGTTTTGATTTTATAAATCTTCTAATAAATCTTATAATTTAGCATTATGTATTTTTTCTTAATATTTTTGTATGAATTCACCTAATAGTTCTCCTGAGAGCATTTTTTCAATACCATACATTGTTAAATTAGTTCTATGATCAGTAATTCTTTCTTATGGGAAGTTATATGTTCTAATTTTATCACTTCTATCAGATCCAGCAACTTAACTTTTTCTAGTTTAAGCCATTCTTTCTTATTTTTCTTAAACATGAATGGCAAATAATTTATCTCTTAAAATTTAATAAGCTCTTTATTTATTTCTTTCTTAACTTCTATCTTCCATATTGACTACTTATATTCCAGATGGTATATGAGTAATTCTACAAGCACTTTCAGTTTTATTAACATGTTAACCACCTGGTCCACTTGCTCTCATATATTCATATTTCAGATCTTTATCACTTAAATGAAAGCTATCAGTAACTTTTGGTAATACAATCATAGAAGCTGTACTTGAATGTAATCTCCCTTTTGATTCAGTTTCTGGTACTCTAATTACTTTATGTACTCCAGATTCACATTTTAATTATTAATACACATTATCTCCAGTTATTTAAAGAATACCTGTCTTACATCCTTTACCAATTTAAGTATCTTTTTATATTGATATTACCTTTTAAATATTTAATATATATAATTACTCTGCAATCCCAATTTTATAAACCAGCATAGTTCTATATCATTCCAATAATATCTTCAGCAAATAAAGAACCTTCACTACCTCCAACTCCTGCTCTTACTTCAACATTAAGTTATCTAATATGATCATATTCATCTTCTTCTATTAATTATGAAAGAGCTTCATCTTAATATTTTTTTAAATATTCAATTTATGTCTAATTAAATATATTTTAAATACTTAAATTTCTTCATTTAACATTTATATTTCGTCTGATGATGCTCCCATTTAAATTAATTATTTAGCATCATCAATAACAGAAACACTTGCTTAAATTTATTTATAGATGTGTATTTTAGGTTATAGTTCATTCATTCTTCTTCTTTTAATTTCAGTCATCTCTCCTCTTAAATATTAATGAAATTGAATTACTTGATTGTATTTTCTTAATACATTTCATATTCATTATTTAATTCACTTAATCTTTAATTTATCAAAAATAAGGTTTTACTTACATTGTTTAAAGTATTGCTAAATAAGAAACGATTGAGAGGAGAACAATTAAGAATGAATTTTTTGATCATAAATAATTTTTAATAAAAAATACATTATGTTTCAAAACTAAAAACTTCGAAAGTATATTCAGAAACTACTCCAAAAAGATTATTTTGACAACAGAAATTGTCAATATCATAATTTTTAGTTAATCCAAAAGAAGGTTCAAGATATTTATCACCTTCATATAGAATGATTTATCTATCTAAACCTGCGGTAATAAGTGAACTAGGATAGATTATGATAAAGATTTACTTTCTTTCTTGAAACCACTCGGCTTTAACAATTTATCTATGATCAGTTCTAATTCTTTTATATTTATTTTTAAAATCTCGTGTATCATAAAAATCTATAAGACCAGCTTCATAATCTATAGCAATTAAAATGTTATCTTATTTTTTATTCCATATGAGTTAATTATATTATAATTTGCCTTTTATTCTATGTATACCCATTTTAGATCTGATGTCATAGACTCCAATTTAATTATGATTATTGAGGAATGCAAAGATATTAAAATCTTATGCAATATTTAAATCTAATGTATATTATTCTGGATCTTTAGAAAGATCATAAGCAATAAATTAATATTAACACTTTCTTTTTTCAAGATCCCAAATTCTAATTGTTGGATCTAAAGAACCAGAGACTAAAATGTATAATTTTTTATTACTTAATCTATTTTGCTAATCTTAATGGATATCTAAAGCAAAAGTAGGACCAACATATTCTTTACTTAAAGGGATTAAGTCACAAATATGACTAATTTTTTAGTCTTCTGATTTGAATATTTAAAGTTTTTCACCAGCTGAAATAAATCTTTCATTTAGTTCATTTTAATTTAGAAATAATAATTTCGCACTAAACACATTATGTAAATGATATGCCTTAGTTTTATATCCTTCTTATGCAGATTACAATTCTAATAAAATATATATGAATTAGAAATTTACAAATAATTGATTATCCACCAGGACCAATAGTTCCTAATATAATTTTCTGATTATCAATAGTACTTTTTGGAGATATAGCACATGCGTATATTAATTTGGAATGAACAAATTAATTTGAATTTGTATTTAGCATAAATGTTTATAATTTTAGAATAAATCAATTATTCCTATTACTAAATCCACTCTTTCTAACATCTCCATCTCCATAAGTACCCTAAATATTATGAATAAATATATACTCCCTAAACTTTGGAAGTAGTTTTAATTGAAGATGTAGTTTAAGTAATCATTTTCCTTTTTTAAATACTTTCAATTTAAGCTTCTGTCATTGTAATATCTTCTTCAATATCATGATATTGTTTATTCAAATCCGAAAACTTCTTCTTCCATTTTGCTAACTCTTATGATTAAGCTTCCACTTAAGATGCTGCCTATTCATCTGCATTTTCTAAACTATAAGTAGCCTCATTTATTAATTATTCTAATTCATCAATCTCTTTCTAATTGTCTCTTAAGATTCCTTATAATCTTTCAATTTCACTTTATAATTATCTTATCTATTTAATTAGTTATATATTAATTATACCCTTCCTTCATCTTCTACAACAACCTATTTTGACTAAACTTATTTAGTAGGTCCCTTCTTTAACATCAATTATAATTCAATCAATTATTTCTCTAAAAGTAATACTTTACTTCTCCAAGGCCCTTCAATCTCATCAACTGAAACAACATTTATTGGACGATTCACATGATGAAGTTCATGAATCACTGGTACATGTTCTACATTATGAACTATTTTTCATATTATTATTCTCATACTGACTGATGGTTATTATTACACTGTTTATTGAACTTATTATTATTATATTATTGGAGCTTAATATTATTATATTATAGGCATTTATTATTATTATATTATTGGAGCTTATTATTAAATAAAAGGAGCTTGAACTGCTTATGGAGATTACTAAATGGCTCTTTAAGATACTATTCTTTAAGGAGTCTAATAAGATGGAACACCTTAGTTGTTCATATTCAATCCATATTCTAGTAAGTTAAACATAATTCAGTACAATTCCCATATTAGAATTAGGGATTCTATTAAATAACTGAGTTAGATCCAAATCCTTATTATAAACCTTGATTTCCTTAATAAATTGCTCCTACTTTTATATACTATTTTATACACCTCCTTATGGTTAATATTGGGATGTTTAAATGTTTCCCATTTATTATTACCCTGGATAAAATGTTGGAAGATTGTTAGTGGCCATATTAAATTAACAATAAAAATTAATTAAACTAATATATTACAATGTATATATAAATTTAATCAAATTAATCCAGAAAAGAATTAATTTATTTAATCAAACATTATTTGCTATTATTCGCTATCACCTTCAAATTCTTTATCTCCATTTAATACTAAGATTTCTTAATTCTTATTTTAAGAACCTAATAGCCATTCTTCATGTCTTTAATGAATTTATAACAAATATTCATAGGAAATAGAATTCTAAAAATGTACATAATATATACTCTTTCTTCATTTCTAGATCTTTTTAGCATTCGTTCCAAACAAATATTTGGTTTAACCTATAAATAAATAATTAATTATTTTGAGATTAATTTTCCAAAAACTTCTTCAAGTAACCAATTATAAAATTACTCATAAATAGCAAATTCCATTTAATTCATTAAACCATTTTGATATCCATTAATAGCAAAGATCTCTTTATCTGCTTAAATGCTTCTTTCACTTAAAATAATTGATTTATCCAAATTAGTCATAACTTATTTCCAATGTTTTAATCTACTATAGAATGCATAGTTTTGCATTGTATATGCCCAACGATTTGGATCCTTATAAAAAGATTCAAGTATATTATGTTTAGGATTACCATTTATTTATTACCATTCCTTAACTGGTTCTGGTAAGTAATGTAACTATGAATATATCTAGATACATTACTTATGGATAATTATGTTATAATAATTTAAGCAAAGTGCTTTTTCCAGATCCAATATTACCTTCAATCGAAATCAGAGTGTATTGCTTATTATAAAAATATTTGAGGCATTAATTTAACATTAAATTAAATATAAAATATCTCATTTTTGTAATCAATTCTTTTTTGAATACCAAAGAAGGCTCTTTTAGAATAAATTTAATCAGATTTGTTCTTTTTCAAATCAAATAAACTATTGAGTTTTTTGATGATCATACTATTAGAGCACATCTATTAAAGTTTTTGGAACTAATTTCGATAAATTATCATTAGAAACAATCTCTAGGAATAATTGTATTTATGGATATGATTATTTAGCTAGATCTAATTCGAAATGCTTAAACCAATTATTTAATTTTATATCTAAATCTAACAAATATTTCATTATTTATA